TATGCGCACTTACACAGTATCTGCTCTCCACTCAACACTCCCTGGTGGGTTTTGAATTACACATGCCCAAAAAATAATCTTTTATTGAAAACTGTCTGACTTTTGACGAATTCAATGCGCACAGACTCTGGGTCACACAGTCAGTCAGTCATTCATTCAGTGTGTTTTCGGAACTATCAAATCACCAGGCACACCATCTCGCCAGCTTATCCTTATCGTTCGTGCAATATTCTGAGTTCGAGTTTGAGTTTGATTCTGATTTCGATTCCAATTCTGAGTGCTAGGTCATATCGTATTTCTCAACAAGTTTAGCGAGTTTCAGTTTGACTTCTGAGCGATTGGTCGTCGCTGATAAGGACAACTCGCAACTCATTTCCCCGTTGTGAGAGGCAGGCACAAAGGATAAATTGTTAACCTTCTAACTTGATGAGCCAAATACAATGCAGAGGAGTCGACTTGACGACTCGCTCGTCCACATCGCTCCATTTCAAAACGCTCGACTGCATCTTAAATTACAAATAATCGCAATTGCTGATGTCGGTGGTGTGCGAACACACCAGCGAGCACTTCAATAGATCTAGCTTCTATTTATTCTTCAAATTCTTTGAATTTTGGAAGCGGACTGCAGTTTTAAACTCCATCATAAATAAATTACAAAAATATTTTAAACTTTTATAATTTTTAAAATTTCTCTCAAAAAAGTCTACATGTACAAAAAATGAATTTTCATGATCTTTTACACACAATATTGAACTGAAATGAATATAATAGGTATAGTTCTGTATAGAGAACAGTTTCCTTTCTATCTTTTCATCCGTTAATTTTATTTAAAATTGCATTTATTTTTTATGAAGTTCGATTAAAGTATTTAGATACAGTTTTATTTCTTAAATTCTCTCTGTCTTCAACAAAATAGTATTTACTTTAAGCCAAAAGTAAAGTTTTTATAAAATATAATAAGCTAAAATAATAACATTTTTCTATGTATTCTTAATTAAAAATGTTTAATGTTGTTTCTATAAAAACAAATTAAATCTAACCAATAACTATTTCAAATACTTTGTTTAATTCAATTAATTTATGTTTAATGCGATTTTCCAAAGTTTTCCTTTACTTCCCCTTCTTCAAAAGAGAAACATTAAAGTCTTATTAGCATAAGAGCAACTTCTGAAAGTGTTTCTTCCAATTTACAAACAAATTCTTTATTTTTACTTGACTTGAAATAAATTATATTTAAAAAATGGTGAAAAAACAAAAAGAGATATGCACCGCCGAGTTTTTTTGTGTGTTTTTTTTAAAAGATGATGTACCTATTCACGTGACCGTCAGTGTTCTATTTAATAGAACATACATATATGCTGCGCTAGAGTAGCAGCTGAAATAATTGAGAGACAGAGGCATAATGAAGAGATAAATGTTTTGCATGCAATTTATAAAGTGGGCAAAGCAAAAGCAACAACAGCCCTCAACCCTCATTACCAATCTACCCCCCAACCCCTGCCGATGACGATGCCACTGCCGTTGTGATTAACTCGGAAAAGTGAAAGGCATGAAAAGCGAACTTCGGCACAATAAAAACAACGAACAACGAATAAATCGAGTTTTGTTGGGTGCCAGTATCGTCGCATCAGGCAAACGCCTCGAAATCAAAAAGGCAGCAACAGCAGCAGAAGCAACAGCAAACCAAAGGAACTTCAAATAGTTTTCAACCCTGCCAGCAACAACATCGTCGTCATCCTCATCATCATTATTATAATCATTATTTTCATGTTCACCCTCAAGCTAATCCGTTGGAAGGAATATGGCGAAGTGAAGACACGCGTTTATGATTTTTACGCCGCTCCCTGTTCGCTATCGCTTGAACTTCATCAACGCCATGCTGTTGCTGTTGTTGTTGTCATTGTTATTTGTCAACTGATTTAATTTCCTCTCCTGCCACTTTCGGCGCTTTTCGACACGCCCAACCAACCGACCGCCTGCCCGCCCGCCCGCTGCGAGAAGGCGTGTACTGTTATTGTTGTTGTCGTTATTGGTTGGCGACGACGCGACGTTCAAAAGGGCAAATCGGCAAATGGTGTAAATGAATGGTTTTCCATATACGAGTGTGTTTGCGAACGACCAACCGACCGACCACATGCGGTTGCTTTGTGCCAGCCAAATGAATCTTGCCAACGCTCATTAAAATATTTAAAGCAACTGTAAATGATTTGAATACAAGTACAAGCCACAAAACGCTTATCAGTAGTGCCAGCGTTGTTTGCATATTTGTTGCAATTAAGCCACAAACACGTGGCAACCCAATCCTGTAAAAAAGTATCTAATTGCTTCATTTTAGTTGTACTTTCTAGTTCAATTCTTTTGGTTACACAAACCATCTACAACCATAAATTATGCAAACAAACAAAAAAAGGAAACAAATCATGGGCGTGGGTGGGCGCTCCACATATAGTATAACGACTCGATTGGAGTGGAGCAGCTGTTTGCTGTCACTATTACGGCCATAAATAAGAACAACAACAACAATGTGATCAAACAAAACCTTTTACAGACAGCTTTTCAAACACAATATAAATAATTGAAGCCAAGCACAAAGTCAACAAGTCAAAGACATACAACAAAAACTTACCTATACTTGTGCTACAGTGGCATGTGGCTGAAACGTTCACATACTTCCTTTAGATTAATGGCAAAAGCTTAGGCTCCTCTTAACACTAATCGGACAAATAACTTGAAATTCGGGCAAGTAGTGAATTGAAAGGTTTTTTTTATGTTAATGTGTCTAATTATTCGATTACAAATAGGAAATCCAAATTGTAAATTAAGAAAGAAATGTGATAAAACTGTTCTCTTTATTTCAAAAAGATTCTTGCTTCATTAATGTGTCTACATTAAGTCCAAACTATTCGGATACAAAAAGAAAAATCCAAATCGTACAAGTATATTGAAAAAAAAGGACAAAACTGTTCTCTTTATTCGACTTATAAAATTTTGCTAATTTAAGATAAAAATTTTATTTAGTTCTTTTAATTGAAAATTTACTTAGTCTGTAAATAGCACAGAAATACTTCTTATAGACGAGTTTTTTATAAAAATTTATATTAATATCAAAAAAGTAGGACAGTATAGTACAAAAATAATGTATACATCTGCAAAAATATTGTCTTATTATCTGCTTAGTTATCATAACTAAAAAAGTTCCTTATTTCACACTTATGGTTAATTTTTTGTATACTAATAGTATGTCTCTGACCACATTTGGCTGTGAATCGGGGCATAGCTGGCCAACTGGCAAATAAAATTCCCCCAACGTGTCGGAGGCATTAATAGACGTCATTGTATAGCTCTCCCTTAGGCTTTCTTATCTTTTAAGTTTAACTTATAATGTAATACTATAAATATCTTTATTTTACTTTCTAATATTACCAATTATATATTGACAGTAAATTTGTTGATTTTTATAAATAAATAAATAAATAAATAAAAAGTGGCTTCTCATAATTATCTCCATACATATTAAGAAATGTGTATATAAAATCGGCTTCAATAATTATCTTAATTAATAGTTGATTCACTATGGCAGATCTGACAATTTTTTGATTATTTCTCGTAGTAGTTGCAATAAGAAATGCCTGGATTACAAGTACTTTCAATATGATTAGCAGCATATGCATCTCAAAGTAATAATAAAATTTATAAATAATTTGGATTTACGATTAAAAGTGAATCCATTTTAAGCTCAACATGAGTCTAAGAAACCAAAGCTAGAAAAGAGTTTGCAAACGTATTTCAAATACAATTTATTTCATTTATAAAAATGTCATACAAATTGTATATGTTTAAAAAATATGACACTTTCAAAATGTAATTAAACAATCGCTTCTCAGATATGGAAACATTCATTATTTTCGGGCCGCACTATTTTCCGAAATAATAAAGCAGAAGGGTGGAAAGTAAAACTCTTTGGGCTCATTCGAAAGAACTTGGTTATTACTGTAGTATTTAGTTATTTTATTGCTGCTTGTTGTCAAGCAGGCATCCAGCCTGCGGGCCAACAACCACTCCAAAGTTGTTGGCTGATATAAATCAACATCAGCATTAAATGGTGGTTATGCATACTATATGCAGAATGCAAATAAAATCGCCATCCATTCGCCTGCACATGCATACGAGTACTTGTAAATGCAATTCACCCGCACCTCATTAATACTCTGGCACAAAGCTAAATTTCTTAATCGCATTTCATGGCAATGCTCGTCAAATTTGCACTGCTGCAGTTTGTTTTGTTTTGTTGTTGTTGTGTTTTTAACTTCGTTTTGATTCGCGATTGTTGGCAATTTTTAGGATTGGTCATGTGCAACTTGTACTTGTTGTTGTTGTTATTATTGCCGCTATTGCTATTGTTGTAGTAATGTGGAACAAGTTTATTGGCCAAATTAAATGATTGCCAGAGAATTACATCATGCAGTGCAGAACAAATCGATAATGCCCAGCTTGGAGCGCTGTTAAGAACCCAAATATACTTGTAGCTACAAAGTATTATTATCATTATGTACGCTAAATGCGCTCGAGACTTAAATGTAAAAATAATTAAAAAATTGTTGTGCTGGGTAGAAAGAAAAAGTAGACGTTGAAAAAGAGAAAAAGGGGAAAAAAAGCGAAAGAGCATAAAACTGGATAAACAGCTTGCCGTAGTAGCAACAACAAAGCAACAATCTTGACTTATTGGAGCACTTAGCTCAATTCTTGTTATTGTTACTGCGCTCATAATACCAACACAAGCACTCGCAATTACAACAACACTAACAACAACAAAGTGGCCGTGCTGGCCAACATCTACTTACCCCAATCGTTGGCCCGCCCTCGTGCTGAGGCCCCCGCCTTGGCCAGCATTGCGGCCGCAATCCCAAGGTTTTTCCAAAGCGCGCACTATAAAAGCTTGGGCGGTGCTGTTGCGGAAGGCAGTTCATTTAAAAAATCTGTTGCTGTCGGGTCCCGCTCTGAAAACGTAGTCAGCGCGTCCACCTGTAGTCCTCGCCTCTTCCACAAGTATTCCTTCTTAACGGACTGAAACGTATAGGCCTCCTAAATTAAATAATCGCGAGTGAATTTTTCGACATACTCGAGAGTGCAGTTTACAAAGTCGCTTATCAAGGATACCACAAAGAGAGAGCTACTCAAGCTAAAAAACTAAACAAATTCAAAATGTTCAGATTTGTGAGTTGAAATAAAATACTAATTAATTTGAAAAAATTATATAAAACATTAATTTAAAAGCAATTAATATTTCTTTGTTAATGTTATATTTTAAAGATAACAATTAATTATTTTTCACATTATAGAAATCAAGCAAAATGTAAAAATACTTTATATAATAAAGTCACATCCGTGTACTTTGCTTGAAACTGAAAATTTATGTATCTGGAATATATTTTTGATATGATACTATCGTGTATTTTGCTTATCTGGGATTCTTTGATTCTATATAGCATTATTTCTACAAACTGAATTTTGTTTTTAAAACTTTTATGTTTCTTTTAAAAATCTTTTATGTTTCTTTTAATTTCATTTCATAATGAAGTTCTTCTGTGTAAAAATCCACAATTATTAAAAATGTTAGGTAAACATATTAAATTGAATTGAAAATCGGTGAAGCTTAAAATTAAAATCTACCTTGTTTAGTCTGCTTTTAAAGCAAATGTTTTCATTGTGTTCGCTCACTTATTAATAAATAAATCTTAACGTATCGTTATTTAGCTTGCATTGACCACACTGGTGGCCTTAGCTGCCGGCCAGAACTATCATCAGGACCCCAAGACGGCGGCCATTATCAGTGAGCAACGCTATTTGTCGGGCGATGGTAAATTTGGCGCCGCTTACACACAAGAGGATGGCATTAACTTCAAAGAGGAGACCGATGCCGATGGCACGCGTCACGGCAGCTACAGTTATGTTGATCCCACGGGTCAGCGACGCACCATTTCCTATACGGCGGGCAAGAATGGGTACGTCTCGCAATAAATTCCTAACAATAACAACAGCGTGTTAATAAATATTGGCTTACAGCTTCCAGGCCTCAGGAGAACATTTGCCAGTAGCACCACCCGCACCACCACAGCCTGTGCCGACGGCCGCGGTGCCGCAGTCGCAGCCTGCCTATCGTAGCAATGACTATGACGATGGTTCCTATGACCCACGCTATAACGATCCCTCGTTCAATCAGCAGCAATCATATCAGCAGCCCGCACCTCAGCCTCAATACCGCCCCGCTCCAGTGCCCGTTCAGCCTAACTATAATCCCGCGCCCGCCTATCAGCCTGCCCCACAGCCCGCTTACAATCCGGCACCACAGCCACAATATCAGCCACAACAACAACCCTATTATCAGCCCCAACCTCAGCAACAGCCCTATTATCAGACCACCACGCCCAACCCGCACCGCTTCTCCCCACCTGGCAAGCTCTCGCTGAACCGCACGCCCGATGGCTTCACTTACTCCTTCAACAAGGTTTAAGCGGCGGAGAGAGAATCATATAGATTGAGCTTGTTTCTAATTTAAAGTTATTTTCATTTACTCGAAACCACCACCAATCTTTATCTTTCTTTCTTTCTCTCTTTATTTCTTGCAACTATATTTCTCTGTTCTGTTTCTTGCTATTTTTTGTTTTTGTTTTTCAATTTCTTAATGCACTTTCATCGAAACTATTTTGTGATAATTTTCAAAATATAAGAAAGAAAAAATTGTTGCTTGTCACGCGCAGCTTTTTTTTCAGCCCATTTACTTCCTATATATATGATGTTTATACCTGAAGTTTTGTAATTTAGTACGTTTCTAAAATGTATCTACACTCGTATTTGTAAACTTAAAGAAATAAACTAGTAAGTGTGTGCGGTTGAAGACGTTGATGAAAAAAAAAAACACCTAAACTGCGAGCAGTTTTTCAATGCAAGGCAACGGGACGCATGCGCAATATTTTGTTGTACATTCTAATACCACACCAATATATCTAATTGTGTGTTTAAATAATAAGAGTAAAAAGCGCTTCAAGCTTTAACAAACTTAATTAATAATTCTGGTCGCTTGCTGGATTGCCACACCACAACAAGTTTGTGCCTTAAGTCTTTTGTTTTCAATGCAATTGTAAATTAATTTTTAACAGATAGTAACGCCCACCCCCCGCACACACACACACATATGTTACACAACAAACTTTCGATTATGGCTTAAAGTGTTAAATAAGAAAAATATATATTTTACGTATATTTGAGTGTTTGTTTGTGTGTGTGTGTGTGTGAACATGCAAACAAGTTTGATGGCAAAAAGGCACGTTTGTATGGGCTTGAGCCGCTTGCCTGCTGAATTCTATGCAACAAACAAGGAAAGATTTGAAACTGGTTTCCACAGTTACTGCTGTGGCTGCTGTCGTTGACAGTAATCGCGGCCAATTGTGCAAAAAATAAGACAAGCGAAATTCCATTGAAAATGAAATCATGTTGCCGAGACCCCCACACCCAAGCAGCCATCTAGGTAGCTAGGTAGCTAAAGAATCGGTGCTGGCTGACTGACTGGCTTTCTGAATTGTTGGCACATGTGTGGGCTAAGCCGGAAAACTGAAAGCGCGTGTAATACTATAAAAGCTGACAATTGTATGTACAACAAGTACATGCATGTACGTCGATTGTGGGGGAGGCTGGCGAATGGACACATGCGAATAATGAACACAAAACTAATATACGTGTATTTAAAAAATTTTAGTATTCCCAAAATCATTTAAAGGAATGCAGCTAAAATATTAAATTCTATACATAATTCAAGTCTAGTATGAAAACTATTAGCAATATATAAAATCCGAAATATTTTGGAAATACAAACAAATTATGTTCGTCATTCTTTATATTTATTGGGATAATATTTATAAATGTGAAAATACTTTTGGTAAGGAAAATTATATTATTACAAACAAAAATAAAATGCAAGAAATTATAGAAAAAAAAATACTATGTATACATTTTGCGCTTCAGATGCATTTGATTTAAAATAAAATTGCAAAATTTACATTTTGTTTCCTTTTGTCTTTCAGTGGATACTTTTTTAAATGTAAATTTAAATTGTAAATACAAGTATTTTAATAACAGCACAGATTTTACGTCAATGAAAGTTGAAAATATAGGAATGATTATAAATTTACACTTAATATTGGTATGATTTTAATGAAGAAAAGGCCGCGTAAAAGCCTTTATTTTTTAAGAACTGCACGAATTTGCTTAGAAACCCTATTAAATTGTATTTGCTTGGCCATCATTATTTTTATTTTTGAAAGAGTGATCTGCTGTCCCTCCTTTCAGCCGTATTACTGACCTTTATTATACAGTTTCTTAAGCAACGTTGTACTTGAATAAATAATTTTTTGCATAGTGCTTAGTAATATTTGCACAACAGACAAAAGTTTAGTTTATACGTACATACTTTTGTCGATTCATGCATCTGTCTATCAATAGTGTAGTATTTAAATTCCTACTTTATAATTCTTTTGTTTTTGCTGCATTTTGTGCTTCAGTAAGTTTATAGTAAGTATCGAGCACACTTAATAATTTGGCGCAAATATGTCTGCTGCTTTGCTCAATTTCATACTCCATCGATTATTCGCGATTACTTGCCAGCCATTATGCTAAGCAGCCGCTGTCATTGTCCGCCAGTCCAACTATCTAAGCTATACTAGATTATAGCATATAGTATAGGTATGACCAACTATTTATGTGTGGCAACAAGTTTTTAGTTTGCGGCTAAAACTTAATTTATCATTTATACTCGTTGTTATTGCTGCCTTTGCCTGACTTTCATCTATTGAGCGAGCATTCTTTTTCACCTCTTTTGATGTCCATTTTCAAGGTCAGTTGGAGTTGTTGTGGCGGAGCTTTTGTTGCTTTTTTTATTCAATTGCTGTTGAAATTGTTCAGTCAATTAAGAAAATCGAATTTGTTTTTTGCACCTATATCGCTTATAGTTGTTGTATTTATGGTTGTTTTTATCTGTTATTCGTTATTTGTTGTGGCAATCGCCGTGGCTTGCTCAATTGCGGATTTTTGTTTCGATTTGCGAAAGAGGTAAAAGCTAAGAATGTAACTGGTACTGAGGGGCTGGCAGTTGGCTATAAACTTGATTGAGTAGCGCATTGGAACAACAGGTGTTCGTGTGTGTCTGTTTGTGTCTTAAGGCTATTTTTATGAATTGAATCATAAAATTGATTTGCAATTACTCGAGTATAAGGCGCTATTTAGCAGACAATTAAGTCTATTTGATGCGAGTTGAAGTGCGTTGAACCATTCATTTATTTATTTAATTTTAAATTTAATTGCCAATTTATTTAATTTAATTTAAAAATAGGGCTATTATCCATAATAAATGTTCGATGCAAGCCTCAAGCAATAAAATAAAGCAACCACAAACTTCAAAAGCTGACCAGCAACAATTTCCACTTGGTGGTTGCACTTGATAAGTGATAGCGTTGCCACTTTGTTGCTCTAGCCAAGACACATACCACATAAATATAGTAGAAAAATTAAAATTACTCTATTAACTTGTTTGAAAATACATTTAAATAAATTTCATAATGGAATAAAAAAGAATAAAAATTTATATTTGGGAAAATCAAATATTTCTATTTAAAAATATATCATTATTTCTTAATTTATTTTTTTTATAACATTCGGTAAATGTTATTCTAAAGAAAATGATTCAGTCTAGTTGCGCTGTTCTACCCGTTGCTTATTCTCAGCATAATATTCCGGCATTTGCAATTTAGTTCTTAGAAAGCTGCATATAAAAACAACCCTAACCCTTATCTAAACCAATTTAAAAAAGTTTAGTTTTTAAAATAAATAGTGAAAGAAAAGTAAGCAAATAATTACAAATTTCGTTTATAGATCAATGGCTTTTATTAAAAATACCGAAGGACTTAATTATTTAATTATTTATTTTATACAAACTATCATACATTAATATATTAACATAATATTTACTTTGCGTTACTCTACGATTTGTAGGTTTTATTGCAAAGGGTTCGAAAATTGTTGTCTAAATATATCAATTCCTACATTACATTTTGTGAAAACGTCGGGTTTCGAATTACAAAAAAGCATGTTACAATTTTTTTGAAACAGGTTGAGGAAAATTGTAATATTTATTTATTTCAGTTATATTTATAATTTGGTTATGTTTTTATAATTTGGAAATTCCAGTGAATATATCTTAACGATTCAAGATTCAAGATCCCGTTTATCCCAATTAAACAACAGTCAACCTCACAAAATACTATTGGTTTTTTAATTCTGCTACTCAAATAATCCCTTTTTAAATTGAAATACCAATCTTATAAAAAGATGAAATTTAAAACAAATTATACCAAAAATCGATAATTAAGTAAATAATTAAATGTTTTTATATGTATTTACAACACTATATGTACAATGAAACAAGTCTAAATATTACCGGGTACGTTCGAGTATACCATAGGAGAAGTAAAATTCTTAAAGTAGTAAGCATAGGCGACTAAGAGTTTGGAGCATTTTCACACATTTATGACCAACGCTGTAGATCTGTACTTCCGCTTCGGTTTGATAATGTGCTTCGCCTTGGGCGACCTTTTCAGTTCCACACCCGGTGGACGTGGACGTGGGCGGTTGCTCTGAGGTGGTGGTGAATGCTCGTGGCTATATGTGTTACGTAAGGGCCCTGAGAAATTGGGCGGATATGATTCAAAATCCTCAATATCCAAATCAGGTCGCGGCTCATTCGCTTTCGATTTCAAGAACTTGTGCAGCTTCGGATTGTTCAGGAGCTGCAATTTGATGGCCTCATCGAGTAGCTTCTGCTGATCCTCGAGAAATGCTGCGATTTGCTTCTTCGATGCCACGCCCTTATAGCGATCGTGGCTTTTCACCGGCCTCACATCGTAATCATCATGATCCGGTTCGAAAACGCTGTAGGAATTGCTTTTGGAAGACACTGTCGCCTTGGGTGGTGGCACCAAATGGAATGGATCCGGTTCGTAGTGCACCTCTGTGTATTTATGTCGCTTCGGTGGTTCGGGAACATGTTCTTCGGCAGAGCCAATATTGACATCGGATAAGTAGGCAGCACTACTGCCCTTGTAGGGAATAGGCACGTATTTAGTTGGTTGTTGTTTAGAATATTGGTATGTGGAAGTGGCTTTTTTGGGCACTGTGATGGGATGTTGGACACGTATCTGGGTGCCTATGGTGTACTCGCGGCTATCCTGCTCGTGAGAATTGTAGCCCCCATGCACTGAGGACTCGCTGGAATATTCAGCGGAGTTGTAGCGCTCATTGGAATAGTCGTCTTCCTCCTGTGGAAATCATAAAATAAAAGTTATTAAATATTCTTGTGTCATTAGATAAATGTAAGTAAACAAGTCTTGGTTGGTTTGCTTGAATGTCAATAAGGAGTGACAACTATAGGTGTTTCATTGAAGAATAAGTTATATTTGCTAAGAAAATTCACACGCACTTCTTGGTGCTCACTTACTGCGCAGAATTATATACATTTGTATGCTCAAAGGAAAACTTCAGCTGTGCATCAGTCAATCAGGTCAAGCTTCTACTATACACTATGTCATTTAAAAAATGTACGTTTTTTTAATTTGTAAAAATCATAGTCACTTGTAGATCTGCAGATCGCCTATCATCTTCACAAGGCTTTAAAACTTTACAATTTCTCGTAAGTATTTGAAATACTTTTTGAATTGACTTTTTCATAATGTCTGCTTCAAATTTAACTTACCGATCTAAAGGGTCTATAGCTGGTTTTCTTGGGATAGTTATTGCTCACTTCGCGCCGCTTGCTCTCATTGGTCTGCAGATCGGCGCGTGTATAACTAGTATATGGCGGTGAAAGACGTGCACTGGCTGGAGGGGCTACAGAACTGTAGTAACTACGGCTGTAGTAAGACCTGGGCGGCCTCAAACCACAAGCTGTGCTGCCCAGCAGCAACATCGCTGCCAGTAACTATAAAAATGTGTCAAGCAGTTGGTGAATTGTCTCGTTAAGCCATAAATATTCCAAGCTTACATTCCAATAGAGTCGCATGGTGTTTGTGATAGTTTTGTGTTTTGTGGTTGGTTACGCGCACTTAATCCTTCACTTTGGTCAAATATTATTCAGAAGTAAATATTGTATAGTTTGTAGAGCCGCGCATCAAACACCAGCGTGGCCTCAACGAAACTGAAAGTTTTTCCAATGAGTCCAACAGTTTTATGCCAGCTTCCTCCTCTAATGCCCAAATAAGCTGCGCACTCGCCGCCACAACATGTTTCGCAATTGAAACCCGTAAGTCAGGCCGAGACAGGCCAGCAACCATCAGCGCACCAGTGAACGAAGACCAAAGACCGAAGACTGAAGACGCAGACCAAGGCAGCGAGAGATTAAAATCTTTGCAAATGTCTTGCGATTCACGCATGCGCCGCAACGATCAGTGGCTTGAAGCCCAGACTTGGTCTTTGGCCAATTGTAGGAAGCTGCGGCCCCAACATTTTTGCTGCTTGCGTTGTCAGCTGGGGCAGCACCAGCAGCATCATTTGCATTTCCTAACCGCTCGAGCAAAAAGTAAGTAAAAATTAAAGCGACCAACTAGGAGGAAATGGGACGCAATGTGCCGTTGTGTGGAGAAGGTGGCGGCACTGTGGTGGGGAAGAAGCACTCGTACATAAATAAAATGTTGTTTATTACGGCAATTTTCATGTAACGATTACAAGTTGCAAATGTGTGTGGTTGAAGCAGCAACTGCAACTGTTTTTTGTACAGCATTGACACTGACATATGCCCGAGTAGATCAATGTAATAGCCGAGCAGGCCGGACCTCAATGTGGACCCTATAAATGCAGCATCGAAGCGAACATGTCCTCTAATCAGTAGCACAAATATGCTTTAATAGTTCAATTTACATTTAAAATATGTCTGACTGCCTATATATGTACTTGTATTTATGAAATTAATTACCAACTTATTGCCAATGAAAAGTTATAAATAAAGAATTCTAATTTAATTAAAATAAGAATAGAGGGATAACAAAACTTTTTGGTGACCAGTTCTTTGAGCATTAAACTTTAAAAAAGTTAAGTTGATGAAAGAAAAAAAAAACGATTTCTTTTTAAATATATATATGGCCTAAGCTGCTTTTAGATCATGTGTATAATATATATAATTTTTCCCTTATTAGATATTCAAAACAAAAACACGGAACTTAATTTTGTAAAAGTATAAATGTAGTATTTAATCAGATCAAGCATTTAAGATAAATTTTTTCAAATCAATTTCATTTGAAAGACATTTTCTTGACTGCTCTGCGATGAATGTCGATTAGTTAGTTTCGTTTGGTAGATAACATTTTGAGGAGCAACTTATAATAATAATTTCCTCCAGCGGATCATACAATTGCAGGAGAAGCCAAAGGGCAGCTTTGCCACCAACTATACTAATGTAGCTATAACATCAGCACAACTTAACAAATCCATGGACTGCGGCTACTTTGTAATGGAACTGGTTGCTAGGCAAGAGCAGCCAACGAGCGATCAGTGGATATTGCTTAATAAAAGTTGATGTTTCCACTTGTAATTTTTGTTGTTGTTGTATTGTGTGTTATGTGAGGGGCAGGTTGTTTGCGAAGTTCAGGTTCAGCCGCAGCAGGAAATTACAGCCGTTATTTGGCTGGTTGCCTGGTTGGATCGTTTGCCATTTTCCATTTTCCAATTGCCAGCTGCGGGTTGTCTGGTCTTTTTTGTGAGCACGCTTGGACTACTTTCTACGGCAGGATGCGCGACACAATGCGGAAGATTTGGCTGCTGCTGTCGTGTCTTGTATGCTGGCAGTTTATTTGTGTTAGGTGGAAGTGGAAATGGGAATGAAAATGGTGGCCAATAGCAGCGTGAAAATCGCGCCAGCCTTGGCAGTTGCATAACATTTCATCACGCGCCATTTTCACAATTACTTTTCCAATATTTCGTTTTCATTTTCAAGCTTGTCCTGCCACTTCTCCTTTTGGCCAGATCAAGTCGGGCTAACAGATTATATGTTCGCATTAAAAGCAATTATAGTGCCAGCCTATAATTAAGTCACTGGCATTAGTTTAATGCTGATTGACAGACGGATGGATGAATGGATGAATGTATGAATATCTGTGAGTATTGCATATATAAGTAGGCATAATTGGCCAGCCAGTTTGTTGACGTTGATGCCACGCCCCACTGCGGCAAGGTCAAGCTCAAGTTCAAGGCAATTGTTGGTTGACAAACGAGAGCGAGAAAAACATGCTCGCCACTCTCCTGCCATAATTTCCGTTTTCATCGTGAAAAACAACTGGCGTGGCCAGCCATTCGATTATTTAGCAACTGCCTTTAGTAATAAATAAGCTGGCTTCGCTTTAAATTTCCGTTAACTCGACATACACATATAAATCAAATGAATAAAAGTGTTTCTTCAGAAACATAAAAGTAAATATAATTGTGTGAAAGTTACAAGTTTTCTGCAGCTTTATTTGGCTTATTTTGGCTTATTTGTGAGCTTTCGAAATAAAAGCAGCAATGACTGAAGATTTGTGTGAAATTTGATTTATGATGGCAGCAAAGTCTCTTCATTTCAAATGTCGTCTTTTAGTTTTAAGTGTCACTGCCCCGATTATTTAAAAACTTCACTTCACCAGCCCACTAAAAGCTGTTCTTCAGTACTCTTCACTGAAATTGGCCAGTGTCTCCATCACTAAAATGCTGATCAAAGCAAATCAATTAATTGTTTTCTCGTGATAATTAGTCATTAGTTTATTAAAAATTGTATTCACATTTTCATTTCTTATAATTTTTCCTAAATACTATATTAATACATTTATTTGGTAGCGAAATAGAAATAATAACAACAAATACTAACAATAGAAACATCCACATATTAGGCAAGATCATGAATACCAAAAAAAAAAACAACGTATTTTTGTTTGACACCAACACATCAACACATTTCTCAATAAAGTAAAGCCAATAAAGATCGGTTCGACGCTGACTGCGCTGCCGATGCTTTTATTAATGGCTGAGACTGCAGCTCAGCCCGTAGCTGCTTCATAAACTTAGTCAAGTGCAAGCTTAGTCACTGGAAAAGCTTTAAAATGCAGTCAATTAACACAAAATATCAAATGTCAACGCTGGACAGTGGTTGGAAAGACATGATTTATGAACAAAAGATAACCTTTTAAAGAAATGATAAATTCCACGTATTTAAAATAGGTTAAACGCCGAACTACCCTAACAGATTATTATTTTATAGCTGCTTTAGAAAACCTTGCGATATCGAAATTGTCCACTGATTAAGACTTTACAAGCAAACCCGAAACGAAATTTTTTTTGAAAAATATTTATAGTGGAAGCATGTTTTAATTAATGAATTTGTGATGAAAAACGATATCAACTAGAAAAAGATTAATTAAATATATATAAAAACTGAGTCACCCACACATTTAAAAACGAAATCTAGAGAAAAAACGTCTTCTTTAACATTGTAACAAACTATTACGGTTTCTTATTATTATAGTAAATTGAAAAATGTTAGCTCTTTTCAATTATCGCATAAAATTATCATCTACAAATTTTTCTTTGTAGATGGATGAATAGTCAGAATAAGCGGATAGTTTTATTTGAAATCCGTAGATGTGAGTCTACTATGCTATTTATAGCTTTTCTGCTGTATTCTTGCTAATTATTGGCCTGGTTTAATTTTTAGTCTAGTGTATTAAAGCCATTGTCACTGTTTAATGAATATTTCTTGATCTTTTTTGCCCATTTTTATAAAGTACAATATATTTTTTGATAATTAAAATGAACTTACTTATTATATTATTGTCAGCGAATGTTTTATGTAATATATATAAATTTATATATATTTTCTATATGTTGTCATTGTAATCAAGGTGGATACTATGATATTATTATAAAGTTATTATTGTTATATTATCAAGTTTTGGTCGAAAAATTCTGTTTTCCATTCCACTGTGCAGTGCCAGCTGGCGACTTCAATCGGGCAGTCCCACGCTGACGCGCTGCATGGCGGAGCTGCGAGCGGCGCGTCGCTGCGTCAGCGACGTGGGCGTCGTAGCGGCAGCGTCAACGACCAAAGCATCGCCATTGAAGCAGAGGCTGCTGCGCAAATGCTTGCGGGGATCGGATGTGGGAGAGGGAAGTGTTGATTCTGGCTCAGACTCTGCTGCTGGTCGTATGTCATCAGCTGCGCTTGACAATTTTGGCAAATTTTTCCGTGTGCTGCTCATTGTCTCGCTGTTGTTGTTGCTGGCATAATTATTGTTATTATTATGGCTGTTTTTATTATTATTTAATGACTTTGTCTCAGTGCGACTAGTTTCCACATATGGTCGCTGCTGTTGTTGGCGTTGTTGGCCACTTCCTGTGCGCATATTTGGCACTTGACGCCGCTCCATGCGCTCCCCTCGCCCCTCCTCTGCATCATCATGCTCATAGTAAGCATATTCTGCCGTCTGCTCGTTGTAAGTCACATGCTTTTTCGGCGGCATGGCGCGCAGGCGCAACTGTCGCACGCCATTATCGACAAAATCCAAAATGGCGTCGTCCTCTGGCGCTGGCTGGCGTTGCTTTAATATTTTCTTGGGCATCAGCAGAGGTCGTTCCCTTTTCACCTCTCCATTCCGTAGGCTATCGGACAGCTTTTTGAGCTTGCCATCATTTAAGGGTTTCTTCGTCAGGACGGGATGCTCTCGTTCGGGTGTTAGAAGTTCCCGCTCCAGGCTTAGGTTGCGCACATTCCGCTTCACCTGCAACTTGGGACTGTTCTTGGTATTGCGCTCCATTTCGCGTTTGTCGTTCATGTCCATTTTGGGACGGCGCGCATTGTTCTGTGCGGCTGGCTGCTCATCAGCTTCATTGATGAAGTCATAGAACTGTATCTTAGAGGTGTAGGCTTGAGCTCTTTTTGCCAGCTTATGATCCAAATCGACGCCACTCTCGGCTGGCAAGAACTTGGGCTCGATGTCCGTTAACTTGGGCGTTACTTCGCGTCGCATGCCACGCCGTAGCATAGGCCTCCTTGTGTTGTTGTTGTAGTTGTTCTGCTCCTGCAGATTGTCATAGAATTGTATGGAGGAGTTGGCGAACTCCTTGTGAAACATTTGTCGCGTATCCACCTCCGGCTCCTGCACCACCGACAGCCGTTTGCTCAACTGTGGTCGCTCCTTTGGCTCCAGTTGCAGGCTCGAGCGTCGCTTGACGCGCGTCTCTACCGCGCTGTCCACATGTGTCTCGTCGGGCCAAAAGAAATGCGATTCCTGACGATTCCGGCCAAGGCCGCACTGCCGCCCCTCCATTTTGGGCGGCAGACCCGTGTAGAACTTGCCATTCAGCATTACGTCCAACTGAACCACTGAACCGGAGCGCGCGTTTGCCAAAGACCGACTGACACAAAGAACACAACAAACAACTTCAAGCGACTTGAAGTGACACTTGACGCTGGCAGCGGACGCTGACGTCGACTGCGACTGCAACTTTGTCATAGCATCGTAGGCGTTCAAGTTATCCGTTCAGGTGCGACGCAGACGGAGGCGCAGACGCAAACGACAGCTCAAGTAATTTGCAATTCTTGTGAAAAACAAACATAAAAAAGCATTTGATTTAAAGCATACGTATAGTGTTGTTGTTGTTGGTGTTTTTGTTGTTGGTGTTTTTGTTGCTGGTGTTGCTGTTGGCCGCTGCGAGAGCAACAAGTTTCCATTTAAGGTCAAATTGCCGCATTTTTCAATTTGGTACGCGCGAAAAGTTGTTTTTCGTTGACCAAACTGTCTCTGGTTTCATCGCACAATCTTGTCTTCTTCTGAATTTGTATTTATGTTTATTTTTTTGTGTTTGTTAGGCAACCAATTAGGCCAAAACAACTGCTTCGATAGGCCTAAGTCGCGCTTATTTGGCTCTCAAAGTGTTCAAGAATGGTTGCCAATTATTGGCTGTTCTGTGAATGGTTTCGACTATGAATTAAATTACATGTTCTTTGCCTATTAAGCTTCAATCATATATGACAGATTTCTTGACATAAATGCACTGTGGAGCACACAAGTTAATGGGCCCAATAATATACATACATATTTCAAATATCGAGAGCTGTTTTAAGTAAAGCTACGAATACAAAAATCAGTAAAATGAAAATATAAAAACTAAACAAGAAATGTGAAATAAATTTGTTTCAAATTATAGCAGATTTATTTCTTGAATACACTGCTACACTTAAGAAATTCAAAAAGTTGTTATTTTTTTAAAGCTTCCCCCAAGTAGACAACCTTTACTCTGTAATTAAAAACATTTATAATTTTGTGTCTCTAAAATTGAATGAACAAAATAAAAAATATCAGCCTTAATGCGCCCCACTGTATTTTCTATAATTTATGCTCTCTATTATAAGAATGGATTGTACCCTTTTATGTCCCATCCACAATGGCGGATTTATGTACTCGTATATGTACATAGATATAAGATCTCATTAGACACCATAGTAGGAATACCGCTTATACTTACAGGTTTGTTATTATATTTCAAAACACTCACACCAATTATTTAATTAAATTTATTTTCGCTTGCTTTTTTCACATTGTTGCTGATTTTGGAGTGGACTAATTTTTGTTTTCTCGTTTTCATTTTTTCCATTTCTTTGCTCAATTATTCTTGACACACACTACTAAACTACTTTGTAATATTTTCCCATTTTGGTTTGCATTTCATAAATCGAAGACATACATATTTGTTTTGTAGGCATAATTTACATACAATATGGTACCGTATATATGTATATATATATATAAACACATACTATATTACATGCACAGATGCTTGGTTCAGCTGTGGATTATTTGGTTTAAACATTTATGATCATTGCTAGTGGAGAGTTTTAAATAATTGTGTGTATTTGCTGCAACGAAATATTGAGATGTGTGTGTGGGTTATGGATTATCGAACAAACTATAGATCAGTACTATGGTTGCCATAAATATGGATATGTAAAGATGCTTAAAACTAATGCGCTGGGCATTTAACGTTTATAAGTTTTTGTATTAGTTTTTGATTTTCTTTCATAGAGTCATGTATTCTTTTATGCATATATATATATATGTATGTATATATGTGTGTGTACTGCAAAAATCGTTAGTTAACCCATTTACATTATCTGCTCCTCAACTATCCTCCTTTCGTTTATAAAAGCATTTTATGCAAAAACTATTTTAACATTTCATTAGTTGTTCATCATATGAGTGTTTGTTGTTTGCTTTGCTTTGCTATTGTTAAACATATATGTACTCGTATATTTAAATTGTATTATTTTTTGGTTTTTTCTTTTTTGTTTTTTAAAAACTTTTCTTTTATTTACAATTTGTATTTATGCAGCAATAGCGTTTATTTGCAGCTAAATTATAGGCTCCTGCACTCACTTTCCCAAATCTTTGGCAATCGCATTTGCGGCTGCCAGGCTTGCCTTTCTCTCCCTCATCAAATTGAGAAACCACTTCAATTGGCAGCACCTCCACGGCCAATGTCGGCCGTAATGCCCACTTAAGTGTGCGGCGGGGCTTGGGCTCGTGCTTGGGCCTGAACCTGAGCCCAGCCAGCGGCACAGCAGCCGCTCACTTAACTAATAAGACACGATTGTTTTTCTCATACCCTTGAAAACTGGAACGTACATTCATTGAAATAACGATTTGAAGACGGAACTACAAACATATTGTGTCCGTTTTAATCATACGAATAATAAACATCAAACTTAATCAAAAGAATTTATGAAGAGCACAAAGATTTTATAGAATTTGTGCAGTTGGTAATTTTTTTCGAAAATGGTACTAGAACGTAACAATTTCTTAAAAAATGGAGGACAGATAAAGAAAGCAGTATAGATTTCATTTTCTGTTAAAATCGGAAAATGAATTTCCTAATTCAGTTTCAAAAACTAACCGTATAAAAAGTTTCGAATGCTTGGTGCCGCTGAATCTCAATATAATTTGTTAATAAACCGTTTCAATAATATCAAAATGCTATAAAAATAACCATTTCGAAAAATGGAGAGTATGAATATGATATGAAACGAAATCAACTGCAGTTGTCAAAACGACTTAAGACATTTTTTCCATTACAAATATAAAAATAAAGTTACAAGGGTATACAATTATCGGTTAACCGAGAATAGTGTCTTTTCTTAAGGCCTGAGGCCTGACCGCTAACACCCGCTACTTTCAGCTTGCTAGACTGGGAGGCATTTTGAATTTGTGCCTTGCCACCTCATTTCGCTGCAAATATGCAAATCGTGCTCGTCACGCTTACTGTTGCTGCTGCTGCAGCAGATGCTGTTGTTGTTGTTGCTGCTGCTGCTGCTGGGGCAACAATGTGGCTGTTGCTGGTTGCAGGTGCATCGGTGACATGACGATTATATTCGTGGTCGTTGCCTGACCATAATCCAATGTTTTTTGCATGCCATCTGCCTCGGGCGCTCGCGTTATTACACAATATTGATTGCCATTGTAGGTGACAATAGGCATGCTGCTGTTGTTGTTGCTGCTGCTGCTGTTGTTGTTGTTGTTGTTGGTGGAGGTGGCGCTGGCATCGCCACTCAGATTATTGCCAGCATGGATGCCACTCAGCTGGGCCTGCATATAAGTGGCTGCTGTCGGCGAATTGGCTATGATGTGCGATACAGTGACCTGGGCGGATGGAAGAAGGGATGAAGGGATAACAGAGTTTGTGAATTTAAACTACATATTTTTCTGTTGTTGTTAGTGAAAGTGACAAAAATTATGGTTGCATGGCTGTGTATTGTTATTGTTGTTTTTGTAATAGATGTTGGGCTGTGTTTAACGTGTTGTAGCTGTAGATGTTGTTGTTGTTGTTGTTGTTAATAATTAGTTACTTCTTGGCCGTGTGGATTGCTATGGTTGTTGGTGCTGTTGTGGTTGTTGTTGTTGTTATTATTATTGTTGTACATAGGCGCGCTGGTCTGTGCTTGCTTCCTAGCTGCTTTCTTTCCGCCAGCACTATGATGCTGTTGTTGTTGTTGTTGCTGCTGATGCTGCTGTTGCTGCTGCTGCTGATGGGTGGCATTGATGATCATCTGATTTTGTATGATTATCTTTTCCTTGCGTGCAAGTGCATTTCCCTCCATTTGCTGATTATTAGTCAGCATTTGTTGTTGCTGCTGCTGAGTCTGATTCTGATTGGCATCCATGTGATAGCCGCGATTGTTGCTGTTGTTTGTGTTGTTGCCGTTGCCATTGCCGTTGCTGCTGTGGTTGCTTTTAGCAATTACTGCTGTTTTTGTGGGCTCTACGACTAACCGTTCCTGTTGTCAATACTGTAAAAATTCCAAAAAGGCATATTAGATCTTATACTTGACAAGCATGGTTACCATAATGTGTTTGGTTCAAAATCTCAGTTTGAAGAAATACATGCATTGAAGAGCCAATTGCTAAGCATAATTATAATGTTATTCTTTTCTTGTTGATCAATTTCGCGTTAAAAAAGGCTAGAACTTTAGTTTATCCCTTCAGAACGACAAATGATTTGCGCCTGCCTTTTATACAAGGTTTTGCTTTAAATTTTGTTGTTTAACATGAGATTACATAGCTGTTCTAATTGAAAATATGTGATTTCCAATGTAAAAACGGAAATATTTCTGATTCCCATAATGGGAAAGATATGCAGCAACGAAATCTGTAATAAATTCTGTTTTTAATTCTTTTCAATACGATCATGGATGACGTTCGCATTCTTTACACATTAAGCTATTTTTCAATTCACCATTTCCCAAAACCATATTACGAATAATTACCAACCAAGATTTTAGATAATTCATGAAATAAGTCTCAGTTTATCAAATTCAATTTCAGTATTTACTATGTCTAATGAAAATTCCAAATGAGGAATTCGATTTCAATTGTGGAATATCAATTATCCAAAGAATAGAAAAGACAGGAGACTATAGAGATCGTTTAGTCCGTTAAGTAAACAAATTAAGCAAATAATTGCACATTTGGGTTCAATATAATAATCAACTTTCTTTAAATATTTAAATACAACCGTGTTTGATGCAAATTACTGGAGACTGTCCAGATAATGGACGCTCAACCGACTTTTGCTCACCTCCAGATGACTCTTGGCATGAATGGACCACTCGTCCCGGCTCGAGAACATGCGTCCACACAGCTCGCATGTCCAGGACAACTGTTGCTGGTGATGCGGTATGATAATGCCGGGAATGGCGGCAACAGTGGCCGACTGACCACCACCGCCATGCTGCGCCGCCTGAGCCGACTGCACAATGATGTTCTGAGCGGCGACCTGCACCGCCTGTTGCTGCAACTGCAGCTCCAGGTTTTGTTTATTATCCTCAGGTGGCGCCGGATCTGGTTGCTCTTTTTTCTTCACCATGTTGTTCAGCCGTTTGCCCAGTGGTGCAATATTTGTGGGAGTAACATGCTTGAACTTGTTCATATGTATGACCAATTTATCCCGACGCGCAAAGGCCTTATTGCACACCTAAATGAATGGAGAGGGGTAGGATGGTGGTTAGCACTTGTTCATCGAATAAGTTGACGAGGTCTAGGGCAGCTTATACTTCACAAATATAGGGCTTCTCGCCAGTGTGGATGCGCATGTGGATGGTCAGCTTGTCCTTGCGCGCCAGTCCCTTGCCACAGACGGTGCACTCGAATGCCTTGTTGGTGGCTGCAAAAGCGAAAAGAAATTTTGCATAATTTATTGTTTATTAACAAACAATTTTTACAACGCCTTACTGTCTTCTTCAACATATCATCTTTATTTACACTATTTGATAGCTACCCTAAGATAGATACATATTTGTTTCCTTCCAGATACATGTTGCATATTGCGATAATCATTTCTGTGGTTACATTTTAAAACAACAAACTATAGCGTCGTTTTTGTGGATAATTTGAATCAGATACGGCGAAAAGACCACCCACTTAACATCCCGTCCCATATACAGAATCCTTTTATTATACTCGCATAATGTAACTAAACAATATTCTCCAATATTTTAAACGTTCAAAACCTGAAAGTTTTCAGCAGGTATACAAAATTGTGCAATTGGAAAATTGCTGAAATTTAATTCGTTAGTGTACACAACTTTTTCTTAATTGTCGATCTTTGGATAAACTTATAAATTTCTTAAACTCTCTCCGAAACAAATATGTATATGCACAAAACAGAAAATTCAATTAATTGAATTGGAATGGGAAAGCTATATAGGTAGAAGATGAAGATGAGTGCTGTCATCTTTATACTAACTAATTCAGGCAAAGGCAGAATGTAAGTTAATTGTTGATTATTGATTAAACTTTTTCACCTAACGGGTTGAAACTCACCTATCTACACTACATAATAGCTATCGAATTCAATTAAAGCTGCAAACAGCCTTGAATTTAATGTATATATTACTCAGCTTTCTTTATCATTAAAGCTAATTATTAAAACATGGTAATTATATTAACAACACAGACAATGGAGGAGAATATATTGTATTAGTTCTGCGTTATGTTATCAGGAAATGTACTTGCACATACAAGAAATGATAATACGTTCTTTTAGCTACTCGGCTACCACTTAGGATCGTAAAATCGTGTTGAGCAACGTATTTTTAGTCACAATATTAATTGTATTCGGAACTTACTTTTCGATGGATTGGTCTTACGCACGCCGGAAGATGCCTGTTGGACTTGTTGCAGCGCCTTCAGACGACTGGCCGGATGCATGGAACCGCCCTCCACATAGGGTTCGGTGAAGGGTATCAGATTCGGTTTGGGTATATTGTAGGTGAGTTGCTCCGCAGAGGACCAGGTGCCGAGACTCTGAAGTACTCTGACGCCTCCCTCGAAACCCATGCCATCGTCGGGCACTGTAAATGTGCTCTCGCCCCCGGCTGTGCCCGCCGCACCACCAGAGCTTGAGGAACTTATTTGCGGCACCTTAATGGTTGCTGCATAGTGTTGTTGCTGTTGCTGCTGCTGTTGTTGTTGCTGTTGTTGCTGCTGTTGCATGTTGCCATTGTTCTGGCTGTTATTGTTGTTGTTGGTCGTGGGTGAGCTTTGTTGTTGTTGCGCACCGCCCCCTCCGCCCGTCTGTTGTTGTTGTTGCTGCTGTTGTTTGAACTGTATGGCCGCCTGGGCCATCTGCTGCTGCACCGCCATGTGCGCCTCCAGATATGCATTCTTCTGGGCCACCGTCATCTTGTCCATGTTAACGGTGCCGTCCTGCAATCAATCGGAAACGAAACAGTTACTCGTGAGACGAAAGAGAGCGGACTCCGGTTTTTGACTCTTGTTTCAATTCCATGATATTTCCATTGCCACCCTTGACGCGCATGTTGTAAATTTTCCCCTCCCCCTTCACTTTCCCACTCATTCAAAGTCGCTCAACAGTCGCGACCCTCAGTCCTTGCGCAAAATTTTCTGACTTGAGCTTTTTGTGAAGCCTGCCTTCATGCGCAAAGCCTTTTGCCCATTCCACCGTGCCTACGTATGCAAGTGTGTGAATGTGTGTGTATGCCGGCCGCTCTGTATGTTCGTATGTGTATGTGTGTGTTGTATGTGGTATGAGGCTTTTCCGTGTCTGCCTCAAATTTATTTTAAGCGCGCTGTCAATTTTGCAATTTTTTTTTTTTGCCATCCCTTTCACATTTTTGTTCTTTGTTGGACACCCTTTAGCACTTGCTTGCGTTACACACCACTCAGTTGAATTTATTTTTTATTATAAGTATATTTTGCGCACTTTATTTAAAATTTCGTATACACAATCATAGATTTTTCCCACACTGCGCTTGGCTGGCTATTGACATTTTCACACCACCAGCTCGGCAGCTCGACACTTTCTGTTTTGCCATTCATTTTTATTTAGCCTTCCCGTTAGTCTTACCACAGTTGAAAATCAATAAAATTGTAACCGAATTAATGCTTGAATTTCTTTTCTGATTCAAACTAGCGCGTACTAATCTTGGCGAGGATTTGCGAATTTTGCAGCCGCAAAGTATGCAATGACAAAAATCCGCTTTTGCCTGCCGTCTACACTTCCTCGAGCCAAAGTCAAGCGCCTTTTGTTTGTGTATGTATTGCGAAACTGATTTCGAACGTCGGCAGCATCGGAAGCGTCGACGTCGATGCGGGGGAGCGAGCGAGCGAGCCAGCGAACAAGTGAGTAAGTGAGTGAGCGCGTCTATTGCGCTCTTCATTGAGTTTAAGTTGCTCGCAGTTGCCGTGTTGGCCTCGCCCTCTCCTTCTCCTTCGCCGCTATCGCTTATTGTCGCTTCGCTTTATTTTCCTTATTCCGCATTCGCATTCATATTTGAGTAATCATTTGTTGTGTTCTGTAATACAACAGCGGAGACGACGACGATGATGACGACGACGGCTACGCGACTACTACAGCAACGTAGACGCAGACAGATACCGACTGACTGACGTCTGGATGAGTGAGTGAGCGGCGAACTTGGCCGCTTTGCCCCGCAAAACGGAAGTGAAAGAAAGCTTAGCATACTGCAGAGCGCACAGTGGTAAGTTATAATTAAAAATTAAAAATGAAATACAAATATATAACCTAAGTGTACTCATAATTTATTTAATAATTAAAATTAAAATAAAATGTAAAAATTCTGCTCTTTTAATGATATACAAAAAATTTTATGCTTCTATTGTATAAAATATCTTAAAATATATACTTGATAAAATAGAAATAACAAAAGATTAAAAAAATGAAAATGAACAGGAAACGTTTAGAATGTATTAATTAGGTAGAAAAGTTTTATCAAAAGCTCGAAAATTTTTTTTACAGAATTATACATTATAAAACATTTTACTTTAGTCATTGTATGACGAACTTAGCTTAAAAAGAATGTTCTGCGCCTTAAATTGGATATAATTGCATATAATACAAAATCAAACTTTAATGAACAAGAGGTCTAAGGAGAACTTAAGGCGTAATTTTTATTTATCTCTATTTAATATAAGTATCAGCAGATCTCTTAAATAATCTTTTCAGTCGGTTTTTTTCGGTATACAAGAAATTTCTTTAAGGCCTATCGCTAACTTTTTGAATAACAGTTAAAATATAAATATTTAACAAATTTAATTTTTTGTTTCCGTTCGTATAGTTTTTAAAAGGGTTTCTTCCATTTCCATCTTATTATTATTACATATTATTATTTTTTCAGTCTATAACACTGTAAACACTGCGACTGCGTTAGCATAAGTTTGAGTGACAATAGGAAAAATGAGCGCAAATTTTTGGGGGTAGCTTGGCGGGACTTGGAATTTGGTGGTATTGAAACACATACATAGCTAGGAAGCAAATGACAAAAGAAAGTCTTGCGTTTGCCGTTGCTATTTTAATGGCAAGGCCAAGACGCTTATCAGTCGTTGCCTAAATGGTTTGACATGAGACTCGCACACTCTCCGGTAAGCCACCCACCACAACTCACCTGGAAATCAATCGTCGTTGTTATTGTGCGCATAGAGGCAGCATAATTTCTTAGTGTTTGCTCATTACGCATGCAAGACCGACGCCACTCATACAAATGTTCCACATTTTCTACACACACCTCGCATATAAGTTTCGGCAAGAAGTCGTCCTTGCTTATCTGTTGAAGGAACAATGAAGGAGGAAAGGCAGAGAACTTTTTTTTAGACGTCAAGGCCGGTCCCCCGTTCCCAAACTCACATTTGCCGGCATCAGTGTGCGCAGTTTGTAGAGCAGCTGGCGGTGCTCGGATTGGGGCTCGAAGAGATGGATTTTGGCGGGCCCATGGCGTATGGCACATAAACGGCACAATTCGGCAAAGGTGCTGAAGTTTAGATCGTTGCCGCCACCAAATTGTTGTTGTTGCTGCCTCAGTTGTTGTTGTTGCTGTATGCCGCTGCCATGTGTTGCTTGTCCTGCATGTGGAGGGTGCGAGGCGTGTGGGCCGTGAGAAGAGTGTGTGTTGATGTGCGACTGGTGAGGATTAGTGTGGATGTGCAGATTGGATTGTTGTTGTTGTGTTGCTTGTTGCTGTTGTTGTTGCCGTTGCTGCGGGTTACCGGTGTGCAACATTATCTATTGTTTGCTGCTGTTGCAAATATTGTATAAGGCAGGCCCGGTTCGTTATATGGCGTTTCTCACATTTTGCCTGCAAAGTTTTCATGAGAATGTTATTTAGTTTTTAGTAAACGTGTAGATTCATACAGTAGAGCTCCACAATGAGGAAAAATCACTATTCAATACAAATTCAATTCAAATACAAAGAAACGCTGTGAAAACTACATATTTTTAAAAAATAATAATAAACTTCTTTAGTTGCACGTGTTATACTCAAAAATACTTATGTACAATCGGAATTTGGTTTTAAAGCCTTCCTTATTATTTCTTCTATTTAATTAAATTGAGTTAATTAATGTTATGCTTCAATAGCATCCATTTACAGAGCTTGGTGAGATATTACGTTTATGGGTATACATTTCTCAACAAATAAACTATCATGATGAAAGCATTAGCTTTCACATTAGAATGGGAAACTAGCCAAATATGAGTAAAATATTCTAAGAATTACGAGCGTATATTCCATGCATCAGAAGAAATTCAAACTCGTAATTTCTCTGTCTTAGGAGAATCTGAAAACCGTGTTTGGTTATTCGAGCTCTTATACTTTCTGGCGCCTTAACGTTCATACAGAGAGACATGTTCACAGATATGGTTATATCGACTTTGGGTACAAGGTACAAATATAAAGAAATTATCTAAGGTTTTTAATACATGTTAATTCTCAATTTATCTTTGCTCAATAGCCAAGCTAAATTAATATGTAAGGCAGAATAGCAACTTCAATTATTTGAACAAAACTGCAACATGTTATGTCTGTAAAACATATGATAACCGGTAAATTAACATTGGCACACTATATCCAGTCTATTTCGTAGCACATCGATATATACATATATTTGTATATACTATGCCAGAATTTGTCCACCCATTACCCATTCTAAACCCAAGTAGGGAAAAATCGATGCCACTGCAATTTCCTGATCCAAGCACAATCACAAAACATATATTACACATGTATATATGTCGAAACAGATTTGAATGAATTAATTTTAATCAGGCTAATTGAATGCCGCGAGCATTTATGTATATGAATGGCGCGCTCGAAAGTATGCCACACTTTTTTATGCCGCATTCGTGCACACACACACTAACACACAAACACACGCGCAGCATAAGCCACAGACTCATAAACAAATCCATGAATAAAAATAATTTGATGTTTGTTGTTGCTGTTGTTATTGTTTCTTTGCTTTTTTTTGCAAACGACAAAAATATTGGCACAATGGGAATTTTTTTGCTGCTGTTGCTCCTCCTGCTTACTCTGGGCTAAAATCCTGGCGGGCAAATGGTCGAAATGAGCTGCCGAAGGTCCGATTTGTCGTGCCGTTGCATTGGCCGAGTGCCAGGCCAGTCCGTGAGTGAAAAAAGTGCATCGGCCGCGCTCTTTATGGCGCACTTTTTTATATGCGCAGTGCGACTGAAGTGGGCAGGAGGGTGTTGGCTGCCCTTTTCCGATGCCAGCTAACTTTTTTTTCTATCTATGAAGTGCATGGGCAGCGCATTGACAACAACAACAACAAGTATTTGTAAAAGCAGCAACGAGAAAAAAACACATCAAGGTCTAAGCAACAGGTTCTGTGGGGGGTTTGTCAACTAAACAGCTTTTTTAATTGGCTGGGGCTTCCTCACCGAGTCTTTCTTCTTGAGGTTCTGCTGATTCATCACCTGCAGGGGGCTCTGCCTGCGCCTCTGGCTCAGGCTGTGCCTCAGGTTGCGGTTCGGGTTCTGGTTCTGGTGCAGGTGTTGTTGGTGCCGGTGTCTCGGCTTCAGCGGGCTGTGCTGGTGGCGGTGGTTCAGGCACTGACACCGGTGGCTCTGGCGCTGCAGACTCTGGCGCTGCAGACTCTGGCGCTGCAGGCTCTGGCGGTGCAGGCTCTGGCGGTGCAGGCTCTGGCGCTAGAGTCTCTGGTGCTGGTGCAGCTTCTTCAGACGACTCGGGCTCCGTATGTGCCACTGGAGCTGCATTGCCACTGTGATCAGACTCTACATCAGAGTCCATGCCAGCATACTTCTCAATTCCGCCTCCTTCCTCCTCCAGTTCCTCTTCGGACAGATGCTCGGGCTGCTGTTCCTCGGGCATAATCTCTTCGTAGACAATGACCTCCTTCCAAATAATCTCCTCGTCCTCGCAAATGCGCTCATCCTCTATCGGTTCCACGCGTTTGTTAAAGTCCATCTCCGAAGAACAGGGCTGGGTACGATCAAAGCCGCCGCACGTCAAACAGGATGAGGATGTCAACAACATGGACGAGTGCGGCGAAGTGGAGGATGGCTGCGCAGTGGAGGAACTCATAGATTTGTAATCAGCCGGTTGGGCAGCCTTTGCTGGGGAGGCATAGGACACGACAGTCTGCTGGGAACGCTCCTGCACGCCCACCTCAGGACGCATGGTGCATTGGTTGGTCACTTGCGGCAGTGCAGGATTGCTGCGGATTAGATAGTCGGACACGCGTACTTTCCAATTATCTTGACTGCAGTCCGCATTCTGCAGTATATCATAAATCTCGGCTATAAGTGGCTTCAGCATGGGACGGTTGCAGAAATTGTGGCGATCGAACATGGGCGTGGGCTCGTGTATATCTTTGGATGGATATTTCGATAACTCAAAGATGGTACACCAGGGATAACCTTTACTCACAATTGGGAAATATAAAGTTTATCTCACGCGCCACGTTGTCCGGCAGCTTTGTCACATGTACGTTGTGCTCCATTTCCGAGGCGCTAGTACTGCAAATGTAACTTTTATGATGACCCTTTAACTGTGGAAAGCCACCCTCTTCTCTACTCACAAATAACAGATCATCGTATTGCGAAGCTCCTCCACGCCATTCTCTTTCGTCAGAATAAAAGCTTCTGCAGTTCCCTTGGAAAGCTCTATGACATCTAGCATGAAGCCCTCCTCGTCGGCATTGTCAACATAGAACTCGGCTGCCAATTCCGGCGAGAAGTTTATCTTGCGATTTGCCTGTATCTGAAAATCCTTGGATAACAGTTTTAGCAGAACCGGTCTACGTTTATGCAAATAATCTGACTTGATGATCATCAGCGAATTCTCGAACATTTCGTTTGTGTGTTAGAACAAAGATATGTATATGTATTATCAAGAGAATATATAAAGTGACTGATCCAAAAAAGGTTGCCTAAGTTGTAGTATTTTTGAAATTTTTTTATTGATACATATGGTTCCCATATTTATATATTTTTTTTACACATTTTGGCGCTCTATATAAACTGGGCTAACGCTCCCATGTTAAGATCTTTGCTCGTTTTTTCTCGTCTACAGATTAAATTTAAAATTACATAGTTGCTTAAGTTTAAACTATTTTTTAGCCCATTTCACGTGCATTTACTTAAAAAAATCAATTCATTTCATTTTGTGTTCTCTTTTCTTTCGTTTCGATCTCTCATTTAATTATCACCCCATTTTGCTTAACGAATTTAGTCAACGGAGAAATCAAGCAAGTAATTGTTTCTAATTTACAGTTGTGAAATAGTTACAGTAAGTGAAAAAAGTGAATGTACTCATACACACAGAAAGATAACTCAGTTGTTGGATAAAAAGGCGTAAGTTCTTCTCCTCTCATCGTCATGCAGTGCCAACATAGTTGCTGTTTAGTCTAAAAGTGGAAGAAAAGTATTAAAGAATCTTTAGTTTTTACATTTTTTGTAACAAAATCTGCTTAGATTGATTCGTTATTTTAAGTTGAACTTACTTGAAATTCTGGCAAAGGCCAGGGAAGATTTTTCGGTATCGAAGCACTTGCCAATTTTGGAACAGACGTGCGCTTGATCGACTTCAGGCTGCTGAGCCAAGTGCATGATACTGATGCCGTAGATGGAGATCATCTCGGAACACTAAAAGTAATTACAATTGCACTTAGTGTAACGAAAAATGGGGGGAGAGGGCTCATCACTTACGATGCTGTAGTACTTGGCGGGTACATTCTCACAGGCCACTTCGGTCATGTCCTGAGTTCTGAGCTCTTCATGCTGTAGTTGGCCGCGAATATGGGGCAACAGCACTTGGGTGGCCCCATGGCAAACGCCGCACTCGATGACCTCATCGGTGATGGCCTGGCTGAGACAGAGCTGCAGCTTTTGGCATACCTGCTTGGGCGGTACCTTGGTGAGCAAATCAATAATGGTTGAAGCATAATCTGCAACAAATGCATCGCACTGTTTGCGAACTGTCTTGGGCAGACGAGTGCAGATGGTTTCGATGATACGCTTTATCTCATCCTGTTCTGTCTTGTTCTGCAACTCCATTTCCAGCTTGGCCAACACGAACTCACAGAGCACACACGTGGGTGGCTCCATGGGGGACTGCTCAAGGCGTTCGAGTTGCGCGTTTGAAGAGGGCGCTTCGATAATCTCATACTTCAGTGTATCGTCAATTACAATGGCTGAAAGTTAAATTGATGAGAAAAAGATCTCTAGTGGACAAATTATAAGTGCAAATTACCATCGTCATCCTCAAAGAAGGGACACTGGCCAATTATTCTGCAAACCACTTTGGGTGTTGTTGCTTTCATCAACGCTGCGGCCAATTGGTCGCCATGCTTCTTGATAAAACTGTGGCACTTTCGCTTAAACGTGGATTTGAGTGCGTCACAGGAGTGATCTAACGCACGCTTAATCTCATCCTTACTCTTGCGGTTTTTAATGATCTTGTTTGCTTCCTTAACCAGCAACTTGCAGAGTTCACAGTTCGGTAAAGCGGAAAAGTCCTGATCGAAGGCCAACTCATAGGGCGATTCATCGCTTTCGATGGCATTGAATGCCAATTCACCGCTATTGGACTTATCCTCGTCGCTATCATCCTCCAGACTAATGCCCATTTCGTCAAGATAGTCCGTTTGCTTGGGACACAATTTCAGCTGTACGCAAATTTCCTGCGGCTTGAAATCTGTGATGAGCATATCGATTAGTTCGTTCGAATACGTCTCCACAAAGTCTTTGCACTCGGGTGCCAATTTGTTGGGCAAATGCGCACACAGGCCGTCCAAGACGCGCTTTATGTTCTCCTACAAACATCACCAAAATAATTATTAATATTGCCTACGAAATAAGAAAACGAAACTTGCCTTAGATTTGTTGTCGCGTATCTTGGCCTGCGCTTGTTCCACAGCAAACAGACAGAGCGGACATGTGGGCTTATCCTGATGGTCAATGGGCAGGGGATGGAAGACCTCGACATCTTCGTGATTTTTATTGTGGGGACACATTTGCATTTTCGGGCATATTGTGGCGGGATTCAGGCCTTGAATGAGCAAAGCAATGACCGCATCGCCATACTGCTCGACAAAATTATCGCATTGCTTGTCAATACTCCTAGGCATTCTGTGGCAAATCGACTCCACAGTATGTTTGACCTCATCTTCAGTGGCTGGCGTAGCCAACTCCTCTTGTACGAAGTGCAGCAGGTATTCGCAAAGTGTGCAAAGCTCTCCGCCCTCCACAAGCAGGCCAGGATTAGCAGCACCCATTATTTGATCGATCGGCAACGTCATGCCAATAAGTTCATCCTGCGTGAACTTGGGCTCATTGGAGCCCAATTTCTTAATGGTCACAACCACTTCGGCGGGCGCAATGGCGGGCAACAGCGGCATAATGGGGGCATCGAAGGTCTTGTCCAACTGCTTGGGGCAGACCCCAATCATAAAGCAGGCGCCGTTGGGGTCCATATCATTCACCAATGTACTATAGATCACATGATAGTATTGGTCCACAATGCTCAGGCATTCAGACTTGAAGGAACGCGTCTGTTTACAGAAACCCTCCAGCACTTGCTTGAATTCTGTCTCCGTGGTATTAGCCACCAGTACGTCACGCAAATGACGCACCAGCTGCTCGCACAACTGACAGGGTATATCATCGCCGCCGTCCAACGACGACAATGGCTCTGGCTCCTGCACATCATCCTTGTGCTGATGGTACTTCGATGCACACACGCCTGACACATGGCACATGCCATCAGTCTGCAAGTGTTGCTTCACATGATCGAAAATATCATTAAAATAGGTCAGCACAATATTTGCACAGGCATCCGAGAAGCTCGAGAGACCACCGCACACGTGCAGCAAGTTCTCCACCATGTCGTCGCGATTCGTCAGCTCAAATTTCTGCTGCATGTAGCGAGAGAGCAGATTGCAATTGCCGCAAGTGAGCGTCTTTGGAGAACCAACTGCTGTGGTGGTAGACTCTGGTTCATCCTCCGGTTTCAAGGTGCCATCGAGCGCTGACTGTATGTACTGCTTGTACAGTTCGTCGATTTTAGCATTATTACAAAGTCCGGCTACTGTGCAAACTTGCTGTAAGTGCGAGGAAATGAATTGCAGTTTTAATTATTGAAAGCAAAAAATAATACAAAATTGAAAAAATAAATTAAAAAATACCCCGTGTAGTAAGCATGGAATCTTTTAAGACAACTACTTGTAGATATTTGTGGAGACATAATAACGATAATACTGTCTACAGCAATCAGTCAACATGGCTAAGCCAAAAGTCAGTCAACATATTCACCTTATTGTAGAACTGATCTTTAAGTTCCTTAGACATATTTTCAACCAGGCAACTGGAACTTTCTCATTACAACAATATACCAAGTGTTCCATTTATAAAAAAATGCATCTAAAAACGCCTTTTGGAATTAGTTCTGATTTCAGGTTACAATTTTACAAAGTTAATTGGAAAGATGCTTAATAGATTTGAGTTGTAAGTAATATCTTTTTATCTGCCAAAGCGCTTAATATTCTACGCGACTCTCTTATCTACGTAACATTTACTCTTTTCCTTATCTGTTTACTTACATCAGGATTCATTTGCGAGGAGAGCGCTTCAATTAGCTCTGGCACAAAATCGTCGGCCAGCTTGTCGCATTCTTTCTTAATGAGCTTGATGGGTATTAGATTGCAGGAGCCCTCAAATACCTCCTTCAACTCCTCCTGGGTCTCATTGCTGCGCAGCTGATCGCGTGCCTGTGTGACCATATCCTTGCAAATCTTGCAAATACTATCATTGTCCACTTCAACATCACGCTTTTCCCACACGGTTTGAATACAATGACGCGTCGCCTTGCAGTCCTTCGAGTTGCTGTGCGCGAAAAGAAGAAGAATACAAATCAGTGTGAGAGACCCGCATGACTTATATTCATGATTATGTTAGGATTACAAAATGACGAGTTGGCGAAAACAATAAATATGGATCAGCCGCGTCAAATGGCCCGCATTCATAATCGAGTGCGGTTTGTGCGGAAGATGGTGTGTCAGCAAAGTTCATAGTCCGAGCGGCAAGTCAAATCGTCACGAATAAATTCAAGTATATACATATGTATATACGGTTGAATGCACCCGCTGTATGTGCAATTTATCGGGCAACATGCATGCATTCTTATAGTGGGGATTATGGACTGTTGAATGTGATCTGTACTATATATCATATTTGGGTAAACACAAAGTTTGAATGTTCGTTTAAAATGCTAATGCTGGCTGATTTATAATTCATGGTGGTCAAAAAATGAACTGTGACGAATTGAAAGTGGACCGGAAATGAAAAATCATTCGAAGGAAAATCCATTTAATTTAACTGTAAATTAAGATTAGCTTCTATATATATTTAAATCGCTTAGTAAAATAGTTTATTTTGATCTAATAAAAACATGGGAACGTTTGCTTTTCCCTTGATAACATTTTTATTACATTTATGGGACAGAGTCGGCTTAATAGACAGACACCTATAAGATTATATTATTTTTAACCTATTCAAATTCAAATATATGATATACATTGGACGTTTTAAAATATGATTAAAAAAATCGAATTTCCTTTTTTTTAAATTGAACAGAATAGTTTTGAATGCTGCATTTAACGAAATAACAAATTTTAAAATCAAAATTTGTTCAACAAGATGTTATAATATTTATTACTCTGTAGACTGGACAAAAGATCACATCTGTGTGCGACGAAGTCTAGAGAACTGTGCATATACGATAAGTATTCCCATACAGCCATGCAATGTATTTGCACGATAAGCACGGACATGATATATATACGTACACAGACATACATAATATATGTACATACATATACATTTAAGAATTTGTTGATTTTTTTAACAGTCGGCTATGGCGTCGTTTCATTTTCTTGATATACTATACATATATTTTCAAACAAAGAAGGGTTAAAATTTCAAATGTATTTAATGTATTTTTTATTGCTAAAGGCGCTTTAAAAGAAATCAATAAACAAAGAAATTTTGCGCAAAAACAATGACATGGAAACTATCAGGCAAGCAATAGCAATTGATTAGTGGTGTTTACAGAAATGGGGAGGAGAATTGCATACATACATATAGACATCCGAGTATGTACATACTAATATGGGAAATATGATATTTATACAGCTGATGGGATATTTTCTTCTGCATTCTTCGATACGCCCAGCTCCATAGTCTGCCCAGTCAGCGGAAATTTGACTAGGTTATAGCAAAATAATCAGCTGGGCCTAGTCAGATTGCAACAGTTGTTGATAAGCCTATTGTGTATGAACATAAATAGATATACATACATATGTACTTACATACATATACCCGTACAGTAAAGTAGGTACACTTATAGGAGGGCTTATATGTAACTGTAACCGCAGTAGAGTAGATAAGCGATACAGTGACGACTGCTTGGCATATGAATAAGTGAAACCTAAGCTTAAATTAAGGAATGACCGGCTTTCGAACATACATAGATGATGAGTTTTTTTCTGTATTAGTCATTCGACTTTGTGACACACACATATACATACATATATACATACATACGCTATGATTAAGTTTGCTCTTGCCAAGTTATTGTTAATTTAATTTAAAAAACACTGTAAAACAAAGAAAAAAGCGCACAAAGCAGAAAAATAACTAAAAGGCGGCAATGCAACTAAAAAAATAAGGCAAAAGTATATACATACATCCATATGTATGTATATTTGTACGAAACTGGAGCGTAACTACAAAAACTACAACAAAGGTTATCAATTAGCCATAAGAGCCAATAAAACGACTGTCTTATCATATTTTAAAATCCATAAACAATTTACAGTACACAGACAAATGAGTGTTTAGAAAAAATGGCGTTGCGGCCTTTGTTGTTGTGCAGCAACAGTTTAAGGGAGGAAACGCAGTAGAGAAAATACTATATACCAGCTGATGACAAAGCGTTTTCCGTTTCCACTCACCTTAAATTGGCACACCAATAGGTTGGACCCCAGGTGCATTTGCTGGCACCCACAAGCGGCTGTTCGATTGGTGTTGCCGAGCACACACCTGCAAATTCAATAAGATGAAAAAAAACATAAACAAACAAAAAGAAGTCACATGAAGAGTCGGCAGTCAATACGCAATATTCTACTTTCATATGCACCTCACACCTTCTCTCCTATTGAACTACCACATCCACACCTACTTACCAAGAACAACCACAGCGACAATGGCCAAAAGGCCTGCGCTTGAATTACGCATTTTAAAAGTGGTAATTAGTGCTCGAATCAATCTGCCAATACTTTGCACTTTAATACGTTTATACGATCTAAATTTATAGTTTCACAATGCCCAAATATATATACCAACTAATCCGTATGACTGCAACTTACTAAATGATACGTTTATTTGTGTTGACTATAGCTCGAAAACTATCGGTTATACTATCGATGGGAAAAATTATAATATTATCGATATCGTCGGCTACTGGCTCCGATTAAAATTTGAGTGCGTGAGTTACCACTGACGAGCTAGTTTCTGGTGTGTGATGAACGTTTTCTTAAACTATCTATCTAAAAAATACCAATCCTTGCCTTTGACCTTCTCGGCGACTCCAAAAATAACTATTTGTGTTATTTAAATCCATACAAATACTATTACTGCTCATTTTTATACGTAATACTATTTTAATTTTATTGACATATTCGATATGGAAATAAGCTAATCGTTCGATTAAAAGTACACCCCACTTGATTTGCGATAAATTTAAAAAAATTCGCTATAACACTATGCTACCAATATATGTTTGTGTACATGTATAAAAATCATGTTATTGGTTGCCATTACTCAATAAAAAATTTAATTAAAATGTCTAAACATGAGCGCTGCCATTTTCTTCGTGGCCTTGCCACATTAACTTTATCAGTGCTGCATAACATTAGTGCTGGTAAATGGGCAAATAAGAAGAAAACTTGTTGCTTTTAAAAAAAATAATACTGCAGTTTTTCTCATATTATTTGGATTTCATTAGTGATTTCATTTTTCAAACTTCCTAAACTCAATGCGACGAACTTAAACTTGCTTAATAATAATTACAATTATAATAAATCGAATGTAGCCGCAGCTTGGATTATATTTTTGATGCATATAACGACTGCCGCTAGGTGGAGTTTTGTCCCGTCGGTTACATTTGAAATAAATATTTATTGCTTTCAAATTTTAAGTTTGAGTTTCATTGATACTCAATGGGACAGTTTTTATGTATTTTTAATTTAAATCCATAATTATACATATTCTCACTATAAATGGTAGGCCTCACATTTAGAATGTAAAATAAAAGATGAAAATGCTTTATCGCATAATTTTATAACCCACTTTGTGAATCTATGACAACAACTTCAGCTACTACCTTGAACTTCCGCTTAAGTGCATTTTAGAATAAACGCTCATAAATGCTTAACCAATCAATGCAGCAGACCGCTGCACTAGCCCCTTTGCTACCATTGATCTTACTTCTAGCCATTGCATAAATACAAAAAAAAAAATTATTTTTGTAATTATGGCTTGCGGCAAGCCAAATTGATTGCTGTCAGCAGGTGGTGTAGACAGAACGCAAGTTTTGATTATTTGTTATTTAATTACTAAAGTTTTGTTCAGAGAAAAGAAAAACAAACAATCGCAAACACTAATTGTCTGCTCACATGCTTATCAGATGCAGTTTCTAATTAATCCGCAAACGAATTTTGCATGTGAAGATCAGACGAGCAGACAGCAGGCATTCAAAAAGTTATACTCCCAGCCTTATACATACATATCTTATTTACGACTAGTAGCTGTAATTCAAAAACTCGAATCGTTGCATATTTTGAGCCTCCGTCGAAAGTCGAGGTCGGCAAGTGGCCGACTTGCAGCCAAATGCCAAACGCAGTGCCATTTATATGCTTGTAATGAACATTTCTGTGTCAGAACGGCTGTCTTAGAAGGAAACTTGAAACTGGTCGCGTTGGCCATGATGGCCTTGGTTCTTGGCAAATTCAACTGCCATAGCCAATTAAATCCACACCTTGACTCACTGGGCGCCATTGACAATGAGTGAAGCAGTCGCCGCAACGCCGCCAAAATTTTATAATGGCAGCCTTTTGAGAATTTACGCTTTTTCGGGCGCCTCAGTCAAGTTCAGACTTAATTGTTGGCTTGTAATGCACTTACAGAGGAAAAACTAAATTAAAAACGCATAAGCCCCGCGGTTCACACGGTGCTGGGAAAGGGCTAAAATTTTGGGAACTCATTATCAAAGTCGTTGCATCGTAATGTGCGTGACACAGTACCTGTTGTAGTTACTGTTGTTGTTGTTGTCTTGAACAGCGTACCAATCTCTAATTGCGTGAGCAATTGTATGAAATTTAATTTGAGCGCCGAGAGAAGTAAACAAAAATACAAAAGCAAATATACATACACATATGTATCTGTATGTATGTACTATACACGACCCCAAGAAACACATAAAGTGCGTCAGAGTAGTACACGAAAATAGTCTGTTAATTGTTTTTTATGCCCCGCCTGTCCGACTTATGCAACTTCCTTAGCTAACAAATTTCTACATGAAGAAATATGTAAATAATTTATGTATGTATGCTTGTATTTTCTGTAAGTCGTGTCCTCCTACCTGCGTAATTAGTTCAACATTCAACCTTATAGCCTTCAATGTGTTAAAAGAATCGATAGCGGATAATATCTTTAAGTTTTCTTTTTTTCCCGATCAGTATCTGACGCACTTTTTTCACATTTTATTTATAACTAGCGACCTGCCTCTGCTTCGCACGGGAATTTTTACAAAAATTTTAAAAATTATTCATTTTATTACACACTCATTTAACACATATACACCCTTCTTTTTGCTATGAGTTACAAAGAAGGAGTAAAATTTATTTTGGATATTATTATTTTATTGATTTTTTGTTCGTTTTTAGATTTTTTATTATTGTTTATTAGGTCAGAGGTTCTCGGTAAAAGATATTTGATGTTTTATTTTGTGGTAGCAAAATAAATTGATTTTCAGGAGCTTTCTCAATAGCATGATTGCAATTCCGAATTTTACCGTCAATTCATGTGGCGGCAGTCCAGAAGAGTTTAGTGAATTTAAATGTCTTCAACATTAATCACGGTGTCGATCGATTCGTAATCTTTTATTTGGCTGGGGGCTTTTGAATAATATAACCTTAATATTTAAAGTGACAATGTTTCGAGGATGATTATGAACTAACAGGAGTTTTTTAAGGTTATTTGTTTACACCTTTGGTTACATTATTGGCGTTTTAGTAAGGATTCCATTCTGTCAATTTTTATTCAGAGCCTTTTCAATTCAAACAAACAATCAAATCTTTTCTCTTTATAATATTAGTATAGATTTAAAATGTTAAGGTTAAAAGTCAGTATTAATGTGAAAGTTTTCACAAAGTAGACCTTTTTACCCTACTGATGAGAGGAATTGGCTCTGCGGAATTTGGTGTCTCAGAATATCTAAAACATAAATAAATTACATATTGGAGCACCATCTGTTTACCCTGTAAACCTATTGGTTCTTCATTTTTATTTTTTTGCAAACATGTTAAAATGCAAAGGATGTATTGTTATACATAAAATGCGTAACCGGTTAGGAAGGAAACGTGAGGAACAATAATCCTAAAATAAAACAAGAGAGAACGCTATAGTCGAGCAAGTCGGACAGTGAAATACTGTACTGTAGACAATATGTTTCGCTAATAACTTTTCTTAACATTAACCGATTTGGAAATTTAAAACAAAAGTAGACTATTATGTATAAATTATGTGTGCAAAGTTTGGTTAATGTAGCTTTTGAAATATGGATGGTATTGACGAAATTCTGTAGCGGGGGAAGGGGGGGAAATTAAAAAAAATAAAATAAACTGGTCCTTTCTCGGACCTAGGAGAATCTGGATGCCAACTTTGGTTATTCTAGCTTTTATAGTTTCTGAGATCCCTGCGTTCATCCAGACGGACGGACGGACATGTCTAGATCGATTTCTCTCGTCATGCTGATTCAATGATCTAAGTTTATTTTTATTGGAAATGGAAGAATATTGGCCAGTCCTTCTTGTTTTGTCGTTTTTTATTATTTCATTAAAATGGTCTTTAAAACAAGGTATTGCTGTTTAAACAACTAGCATTTGGAATATTACGTATGACAAATAAGATACAAATTTTTTTTATCATATTAGAAATTATGCTAATAAAGGACATTTTTTTTATTTATTTAGGATAATAAATAAGTTAATAAATAATTCGTTTAAATTTTAATTAGAATTTATGAAATTTTTCTAGTCCGGTTTAAATTCAAATTAGCTAAGAACTTGGATAAATAAACAATCAATTATTATCTCTAAGCTATTCTCGTCTGTTGGCAGTTTCTCTTTTAATCAATTCATATGCAATATGTGAGTATGTAGATGTGTGTGCCGTCTAGTGCCACCCAGTGCCAGATTATAGCCTCTAGAGCTTTAAGATTCTTTGACTATTGTCTATGCGGAAATGAACTTGACCTTATCGGAAGTCAGTAGTAGCAGCAACTTTAGCGGTTGTTTGAATGGAGGGCGTAAAACAAAGACCAAGTTAATCAATTCAGCGACAGAGCAGAGCAGAGCGGCAACAGAAACACGGAATATTGGTGTTTTTGTTAGTCAAATGGTTGTTGATCATTTAAATCGAACGGCACCGCACCGAACCGCACCAATAAACAGTTAAAACTTATGCTGAAAATTTTGCTTATATGCGTATAATATAGTATACTTAGCAATATAGCTGGTAGACTGCAAGGCTTCGGCTTCTTCCGCCATCACAAAATCAAGTTCAAGTTGAAATGTTTTATAGAATTGTTTTATCGCAACGAATACCAAACCTACTGCCGAACTGACCCTGTCAGTTAGCTTTGACCCAATGAACCGCTAAGACAGATAACCAGTTTATTGTACGAGAAAGCAGTTGTTGCTGGTGGTATTAGATAACTGATACCAGTTAATTATTTGAAATGTATTAAAGAGTTCGGGACGGCGCGAACGCCATTCCCGGCTATCAAAAATTACACGCACGAGTTATTCGCATTAGGAATAATCGCGGATGTCAACCCCACCGAAGGTGCAATGGCAGAGCCTCAATCCGGGAGAACGACCTTCGTGATCATCGTTAACTCCTACGCCAGGTAAGTATGCTTTTGGCTGCTCAACTTCCAACTCCCAATGCCAAAGGCGCGCGAACTGCTTGTGAATTCCTAGCAGCGCAAAGGGAAAAATTTCACTGCAGGAGAAAGCATAGAAAGAAAAATGCTAAGCATGCCTTGTCTGTGTGCGTGGTTAAGTATTAGGGGTTGAAAATACTTTTGTTCAAGCGCACGTCTGAACAGTGGTTCATATTCTATTGGAATTATGTCTGCTACGTTTGTATATGAACAGCTCCTAAAATACTTCCGAATGAGTTGAAATAAATATATAATTTTCGAGGTAAACGATTGGCGGAACAAGCAGAACATATCAAACTTGAAGGTGTTACTATTTTTTACATTTTCATTTGGCTTATATTGCCTTAGTATTGTTATAGTCTATGAACCCCTGTTTTTGTGTACCCTTGAATGGTTTCTGTGCTGAGGGTTGAAATGTAAAAGCGTTTCTTTTGCTGCCATTAGTGTGATTTCATATTATCAGAAAAATTAAATTTGAATATTTATTTGTTAGTAAAATATTAATTAGTATTACTCTATAGCAACTAGTCAATTAATAAGTTATAACATCCAAAACTTTAAAATTAAAGCTAGATAGCCCTATTATTCAGACAGTTTCTTTTTCCGAAAATGAAGTGATGGCAGTTAGAAAAATATTATCTTAAAACGGATAATGTTTCCATTAAAATGTATGTATATTAACTTTTTGGAATTAGTTCTGTTATTTAGAATATATCAGAATATATTATTTAATATTCATTAAAATGTATGTATATTAACTTTATGGAATTAGTTCTGTTATTTAGAATATATCAGAATATATTATTTAATATCAAACTATTCTTTCTTCCATATACAAGTAGATATAGTGTATATTTTTCCCAAATAAAGAATTACTTTTTTCTAATGCCAAGATCATCTAGAAAGTTGTTTTAATACTACAAATTAAGGATGGGGTTCCTCAAAAAGAAACATGTGCATTTTGTATTAAAAATAACTGTAATTAATATTACACATGCTAATTATTTAACAGCTATAGGGTGTTCTTGAAGTTGAAATTAAAAGAAAGCAGTGCCCAACAAAATCTGACACACTTAATAGCCCGACTCTGGTCGTGCTTCATGCGCAATCGTCAGCATCTGATCTGAGGTATAGATCGTGTACACGTAGGCCTCATAAACAAAAACAATGTGCGTGCTACGACGAAGTTGGTCCAAAACAAATTTCAAATGCTATAAATACCCGAAAATCTTGTACAAAGCGCAAAAAAAAGGTACAAATAAATGGTAAATGGGCAATGATTATTATCTTAAGACGAAGCGTTGAACGCACAATGACTCGCTATTTTATTTTTTATTGTTATTATTATATTTAGAGAAGCTGTTAATTCTTTCATAATTAAAGAACGCGTTGTCGACGACTTGTTACTTCCTAGACAGACGCTTATGTGTAGAAAATGGCATTGTTTGCTAGCTTCAGTCCAGGCTGGACTGGTTCTAGATTTTTGCGTGATTTCATAATTTGGGCTAATGTGTCTAGGAAATATTCATGAAACAATTAGCAGAGGCACCCGTAAAGCAATTGCTTTACAACATATGAGTATATAACGAGTGTTTCCTTTCCCCAATACAACCTATTCACATTATAGCTATTAACTCGTTTGTGATATGTATATGTAAATAAGGCGAATTACATAATCTCTCTGTTCACAATTCGAACTTTATTGTGACTATACAGAGGTTCTGTTGAACCCGCGGATTCAGCTAATTAAGTCCCGGGAAGATACTCGACTAATTTAAAATGCAAAAATGTGCTTCTAAGCTATACATATTTTGTGTTCCTATGTACATACGTTCAAAGAACTGTGCTAGTCAGTCTCTGTTTGTATATTTATTTGTATCTGTATCTGAACACGTTTCATCTTGTGCTTCACAAAGGTTGTTTTTTTTTTTTTAAAGGCTCTGGCCAAGCTCTGGGTGTTAGAACAGGTTCTCTTCAGCATTTAAGCAATCAAAAAAAAAAAAAAAAAAAAAAAAAAACGAAACCCTCGAAATGAGTATTTAAAGAATTAAATTCTTTGACTTAGAACACGAAAACAAGTCGCACTGGTTCGTGTTAGACTATTAACACAGCTTGATTGACTCGATATTAATGTTTATATTGATACACAGTCGATTTTTATGTTCGATTGCCAATGCAGATCAATCAGGACTCATATGCCAAAGTCCATGACCATGAAAATGGTCTCTGAAGTGGGTCGTCGTCGCCCACTTGCCAATACTCGCACGTAGCCAGTTCTTTTTAACCTTGTTCTACAAGTCTTGGTAGTGTCTGTCTAGAAGAATTGCTCGCTGGTTTAATTCGAAAGGGAATGACGACTTTTTGAATTAAATGCAACAATTTTTTCGTAGCGGATATGAGATTGTTAAGTTTCTTAATTGCTCTTTAACAAGAAAAAAACCTTAATTTTATTGCTGTGCAAATTTTAAATAGAATTAAAGTGATTTAATACACTATATACACATAAGATAAATACACGTTTGTGTGTATGTGTGTGTGTGTACTTCCCTAATATTCATCCCACTTGCTAATTGTACTCAAAGGCCGTGACGTTGTGACTGTCATAAGTTAGTTTATGGCCCCAACATCAAACAATTGGTTACAAGATACAGTAGACATAGCTTGAGAGAAAAATGTATCAGTTATTCATATAGTTATAGTTACACAAACTCACGAATATAAGTTATGCAATGTTAACTGATTTCACAAAGTACTTCTGCAGAGAAAAGAGACAGACAAAGTTTTTATTTTAATTGCGATTATTATCAATTACATATATATTTAAACGATTTTTTTCTCCATTTGAGATAGTTTAAATTAATACAAACATTAATAATATTTGGTTTAATTTTTTGATATGTTGCTTAGTGTTATTTTTTAGGGAACCAGGCCTATAATGCTGTCTAGACTTTTCATAAATATATGATAACTATATATTATAGTGAACAAAAAAAATTTCTTTTGCTGATATATTATATTACAAGAAAAGTGTTATATTCCTGATGATTTGTTAAAAACGAATGGTGTGGAACTTCATTGAACTTCTGTCTTGTGTCTATGCCTTAGAAGGTGCTCGTTTATTTCTAAACTTGGAAGTTTTTTTTAAAGATGCAAACAATCGATCGGGTAGTCCTAATTCTTTAAGCCAGGATACCTCTATTATGATCAAGATATAATACGTGCTGGATTTTGTGGAGATTTCTATCTCCCTACGTACAGTGAATCAGTCTATTAGAGACCGTTCCAAGCATTCCATTGTTTCCCAATATATATATTTTATAAATAATTCTTTATATAAAGTTTAACTCAATTATTGTTAGTGTTAATAATTAACATTTTGTGTGAGTGCTTCAGAAAATAGGTTCCTATAACTTTCAACTGCAGTATTTTTCTTAATTTCCGCTGTCTTTTCTAGTAACTGGATTTAAATAATATGGTTTTGGGATTTGCAGCGAAAGGAGTTGTTTTTAAGTGATTTCTACTGTATATGGAATTGTATAAGCGTCTGCCTAGCACAATTAACTGCATATGAGATTTTTTCTATACATACATATGCATGTATGTACATATATACAAGGGCAGCAATCAAAACTCCACAAAAAACGTCACAAACCCGCAATGTGTGCAAATGCACAAATTTTTGTAGGTCCCATAAACAACGCAGTGGCAGTGGCAATGTTGGTTGGCCAGTAGTATAAACAGCATAGGCAGCATAAACCGCCAAATCATGCCAAAGACAATGCGAACTAACTTTACGAAGCTCTACGAAGCTCGACGAACCTTTAGCTCTGCAGTGGTGTGAGTGTTGCTGGTGATTGGTAGTAGATTTTCTACTACTTTTTGATACCTTTTTATGTTGAGCGTGCGCGAACTGCTCGAACAAATTCACACACACACACGTACTATACACTTACTTACTCAAAAGCCGGAGTCGCGCAGTCGCCGACAAACGGCAGCTCGAAACCCGAAACGTTGGCCGAAAATTTAGCACTTCTTTTTAAATTTTTATGCAATCTCAAACTTTTTGTTAGTTGACATACGACCAGCGTCTGTGTCGGAGTTCGGAAGCGTCTCTTTCCCAAGCCAGCGGCAATTAAATACGAGGAGTGTCTTTGGTGAATTGATTTTGCATATGAAGCGGGACTTTAAGCAAAAAGGCGCGCGTTTTGAAATATTTGTGTGACAAGTGCATGGAGGTTTTTAAATAGACCGTGACAATCAGCATCGCAATAAATTGAAAAATGTCCTCGAAAGTGTTCACCTCTCTCATGGCCGAGAGCGTGCTGCTCACGAAAACGGCTCAAGTGATTTCGGGTTACTCGCCATTGACCATATTCCTGCTGGCCGCCATCAGCATTTTTCTAGTGGTCTATAATAAGAGACGTGCGCGTTTGGTAAAGCTCATTGAAAAAATTCCTGGCCCTGCTGCCATGCCCTTCCTGGGCAATGCCATCGAAATGAATGTGGATCATGATGGTAAGCTGAAAAAAATAGTTTTTAAAAGAAACATACGCAAAAGAATTCTGTATTTTTTATTATTATTCTGTAGTTTCTTATAACCCTGAATTGATTAATTTAAAGTGCAAATATCATAGTAAATAAAGCGTGCTATCTTTGTCGTCAGAGGTGCTAATTTATGAATATCATGCCAAACATATAACCTGTCGAAAAACCGCTTTGTTGCTTCCGATAGGCAACTACACCCACATTTAGTTTTATGGAGTGCTAACGAATTCTTCCATTCCCAAAACATATCTCCATTTCACTTTTCTTTTCACTTAATGCTCAATTGATTTTAAATCTATCGTTCAATAGAATTTTTGCTGCCGTAACTGCGTGACTAAGTGTGAATTGGGCAATTATTTAAACAAACACAGACAAGTGCTAAAAGAAATTCTAGAATTCAAAAAAAAAAAAAAAATGCAGTGTATTATAAAATTTGTTGTAATTTGCATTGCCGCTAATTTTGAAATGCATATTGACAAGAGACTGCATTGGACGACGAAATAAAACATTATAATTCAATTAACAGGTTTGGGGCCCTTTCGCCTCATTGCTAAATATTTGTAGGTAGCGGCTCATCAAAATAAATACCTAAAAACAAAAACTTGATAAACAAACAAACAGTGGAATAAATGTAACGCAATTTGTTTTAAAGCGTGCTCACAAAACATAATTTTACTAATCAAGGAGAATGTATGGATGCCGTATAGTTGATGACATCTGTTTATCAAAAGCAACAATGACTCTATTCAATTACCTAAAACCTTATCTATCTCAGCATATGTGCTTAATGACAAACTAAAATAAGATTCATTTACGAGCATGTGTAGATTATTCGGCTCATTTCATGGATGAAAGGGGGAAAAAATACAAATTTTACAAGAAATTAAATATGTAAAGTGTGTAATGTTTTAGTATCGCCTTAAGAGGACACTCCTTATTCCTTATATAATATTACCAGTGCGATTTTGCTTAGCCCAGACATATAAGTATATATAGTATATATTTGAACAACCCTATTACTAACATGACGTAACTAATGAAAAATTAACATTTTTATTAATGATGTATGATAGTAGTAGTATAGTATTTATGTATAAGCGGGAATCCCATCGCTCATTAAAACTAAACAAATGCGAAGTGACTAATTCGTTTAACATAGCAATGCATAAAATATAAAAATACATACGACTAAAAAACTAATAGCTGATTCGACCTGAGTCCTATCAGTTCACTTTTCTTCAATTATTCTTATAACGATAAATTTTTTATACAAGGAGTGAACAATTTTAAAATGTCTTCTCTGCTAATAGTATTATTAAGGACTGTTAAGGAAATGCTAATAATAATTTGCACTTTAAACACATAAAGATTAAATTTGATATTGATGATTAAAATACTAGACACTTCTACTAAACCTTCGGTACAATATGCCTCGTGTAAATAAATCTGCTTTTTCTCATCATGTATCCGTATTTTCCTTTTGAATATTTTCCTATCGAATATTTAATCTTTGATATGTCAACAACCTTTGAGGTCTATTTATATTGAATATTTAATCTATGATCCTACTTATATGTCATCAACCTTTGAGGTCAAAAAGTTTTCAACTTTATTTGTAATTTAAAGTTGTGTTAAGCAAATACTATATTTCCAAAAATAAGTATAATTTAATTAAAATAACCATTTTAGTTAAATTTTTCCTCCTACAATAGTTGACCTACTTAGCTAAATAAAACACATTTCTTTTATGCCAGCACCATCAAAACAAGTGGTTAGCATTTCCAACTTTCGATTTCTCCATATACTATAGATTCACATTCTCTGCTTCTCACCTAAAATTAAGTCATAAAATGCCTTCATTGTTGTTACATAATTATAGAAGGCTTGAAAAAAAAGCAAAATTGTATGCTTTTAGTCCCCGCTCTTCGGTCAAATGGTACAATTAAATGTACATAAAGAGCGTGAATCGTAAATCAGCTGCTAGCTCCAACTTTGAACTTGATATATAACCAGATTTACAGCTATGAGTAACAACAACACTAAATGGGTTGAGCTTTCACCATTAAAAGCGTAATATAAAATGAATTTGTTGTTTTAGTTTTTGTAAATAGCGGAAATGCGTTGTGGCTGCCTAAATCAATGACTAATTGAAAAAGAAGTTTGGAAAAAAACAAAATTAGCCGTTGGTGCTATGAAAGGTAAAATTCATAAAGAACTGAGCTGTTGGGCCCAGACACCAATAGCCAGTTATAAACCATTAAATAATCACACCAACAATACACACTCGAAGAGTTATAAAAAATAGACATAAACAGCTCTACCAAAAAAATAACAAACTCACGCAGACAACTTGAAAAAGTCTTAACAGACAAAAGATCTGCCGGTTGAGGCGGACGTGCCATGCCAAGCCATGTCGCTTGATCTTGACATTCAAAATCAGCCACGAATTTTGTTAAGAGCTGAAAAAAAACTAGTATTAGAAATGCTGCGGCAGCTGCTGCAGCGTTCAATAATTTTATTAGCAACTAATTTGCCTTCTCAAAGGTTTGCTAACGAAAACCCGTCTAATTTTACTTTTGCAGTTCCGTGAGTTCTTTCGCTGAATAAATAAATAAAAAACTTCAAAGCAGCAACAAACAAATTAACATAAATTTCAATGCGGAAACGCATTTGGCCGAAAATACAAAAAAACCATCGTATAGAAAATTGTAAACACAACAAAGTACGAGTATTGGCAGTCTCTGTTGCAGCAACTACCTGTACCGTGATCTCCAACGTCAGCTGAAGCTAAGACCATTAGCTCGATTAACTCACCGATCAGTTCGAGTGGCAAAGCGTGTAGGAAATGAATTTCAAAATACACATTTGAAAAATTACCACTCATTAGATATGAAATAAAATGTGTAATTCGCTTCCGTCTCAGTAGTTCTTTGTCTGCGTCCCTGAGCATTGGATTTAGAATTCTTATCGAATTCAAGTGACTTGCCTTGCTGGATCAGTTTCAAGTTTCTTTGGCCCCCAGCATCTTCAAAAATGGAGCCCAAGGCTCAGCCCGTCGCATTAATTATTTAAAAGTAATTTGTGTACTAAATGTAACTGGTTGTGTTGTTTATTGCTTATTGAAAGAATCAAGATCGGGTTGTTACATTTTAACTTTATAATCAATATACTTATATATTATGTTATTCAAACGCGTCTGACAGCCATCGATACATTTGGAAAAAATAATTACAAGCGGCGAGTGCGTTCAATAAACTTTTAATGGACTGTAGCGATTGGAAAGAGTGTAAGCAGCAATTAAGTATACAAAATGAGGAGCAGTAACAAGAGCTAACAAATTGTATCAACCTGTATCAGATAATTTAATATGTATTAAATATATATTTATATTTTTTATCATGTAATTTCCATAACTGAATTCGATTGTCAACCTCTGCCATTAAAGGGAAATAAAAATAAAAGTCGATAAGACTGAATATACGAGTATATCTTATTTTTTATATGCGATTCGGGAATGCAATTGAAATTAAAAGAAGCATACTTGTAGGATTCTATTTCGGCTTTTCATCAATTAATTAAATAGCGGAAGAAAAACGCACAAATGTAAACTAAGATGAAATTACATTTCAATTATGCAAGGATGAATATTTTCAACTAAATTTTATTAAAAACTAATCTTTATTTGTGGCAACAAAATTAGTATACAGAAACAGATTATATAAGATTGAATTCATTAAAAATATTCCATTCTGATCAACATGTTTCCCCTAGCTATTTACCAACAACTTAACATCACATTATATAACATAAGTATCGAGTTTAATCATTTTTGTCCGACATTCAGAAACAAGTTTCAACGCACGCGTCTCAAATCGCAGCCTCATGTATAAAGTAAAAACAAAATAAAACGGTATGAATATCTTGTAAAGCTGTCTCTTCATCTACAAACTCTAAGAACATTAAAAAAATACGCAGCAACAAATAAAATGCAAATTTTTGCAAAACTTTTTTAAAAATTATATTCTTATTTTAAATTTATGCGCTTCTGCAGCGGAGTTCAAGGCAGTCAAGGAATGTGCTGTATTTAATTTATTGACATATGCCTGTGCACAAATTAAACAGCTTTTTAGCTCAGTCTGCTTTTATTTAATTAAAGTACAACGTACCTAAAACGTTACACACAAATCGTAAAATTCTGCAATTAATCCAAAAAAAAAAAATTAAATAAAATAAACATACAAAAAAGCAGTAGCTTTAAGAGGCTGCAAAAGCGCAAATTTGTTTTTATGATGTGTGTGTGTGAGGTTTATTTTTTTGCTGTTAGATAAAATGATGTTGCAACAATTGGTTGTTCATTTGTTTACAGCAGCGACAACCATCGAAGGTCACCTTGGCGCACCACAAATGCCAACTCTGACAGCAACGGGTGCTTAAAGCACTTTTATTAAATCATATTTTGAGACAAGCACCAAACTCATAGTGCTGGCTGCCCACAAGGCCTTTATCGTGTTTGGAATGTGAGTTCTAATGCTAAGAACATTTGCTTTCAGTGCCGACTTGTATCGTCTTGCAGCCACAATTGTGGTTGTGGGTGTTTCTATGGCTTTTGGCATTGAATGCAGTCAACTTACTCGACTGGTCACCAACAGCACTCAAAAGCATAATAAAGAAATAACAAATATTTCAATTGTATACGACATTGGAAGACCCTGCAGTCGATCTGGGCAACGGTCATTTGAATATATTAGCGCTTAAATATAGCTCCCAGATCTGTTGACTTAGGTCAGCCTTTCTCTGTACATTTCAACTGTTTTGGCGCCAAAGCCAACTAATCTAAAATATTAAATAAATATTTTTAATTTTTATCGAAATCATAAACAAAACTCACAATATGCGTTTCTCCAATTTTCCCACAGTAAATGAAAGCTCAGAGTTTGCCTTTAACAAACTCGATATTGATTTAAGTCTGAAGATGATTAGAGATTCAAATTCAATTTATATTCAGAAGGAAACTTAAAAATTGTGAAGAGTACCTAAGTATCTAAGAAGCAAATTTATCCTCTATACTCAATCAAATAGGACTAACCCCACCAAGCTTAACATAATTTGTTTAATAAAAGATATGCAATTTATTTTTCTTTTTACAAATATTCATATATTTTTGGTAACTTATAATTATTAAAAAGATCGTAGTGGAAGTATATTTTCCCTCTATATCAGTTGAAATGTGTTGTCATTTCTGAAATGTAGGAACGCATATTATTTATAAAAAGTTGTTTAAATAATAGAAAATGTAATATAATACAAATATTTTTAATTTGAGAGCAACTTTTCTCAAATATTCACAAAGTAATTTTTTGTTTTTATGCAATTCCTAATTAAGTTTTAGTTAATTAAGCCAAGTCGGCTAACGGCCGAACATACTTGTATATGACAAAACAATAAGAGTTATAATGAAAAACAATAACTAAGACTTGAAATTGGATAGCCCTTTCAGGGGAACATTTCTAGAGTTAGTCGAGGAAATTATGGTCTCGGAGATGGCTCCAGAAAACTGTTTTTATGACGAAACAGAGATATAGAATTCGGTTGAAAGAAGGTGAGAAATGCATTCTGATCTAATCATTTAATAATACAAAATAATGTAATAGGCTTCGCTCTCTCAGTCCCAGTTCCAAAATTGTAATCAAACGAATGATCTCTTAAGTGTAGTGTATTTAATCAAAATTATGATTACTGTGCAGCAAACAGCTCTTCAATGTCAGCACGACAAGTTATTATAAAAATTTGCCAAAAAATTACGCGAACAAATGACTATCGTAATTGTTGTAAATTATTTGAAAGAAACTCTGCGTAAACGAACAAATATTTTTACTGCTTGTTGTCAACCATGTAAACAAGAGAGCGAAATGTTAATGAGTTGCCGGCAAAAATAATATGAATCGCGTTTTGTTTTCACATACGAAATTTGCTGCTCATTTCTTTTATGATTGCTGTTCCATGCAAACTTCCGACAAACCACAAAGTGGTCACAACATAAAGAGCGACAACGCAACCCAAAACCCGTCCAAGGCGTCATCATAAAGAGCTCGCTTCATTTCGCTGGGTGTTGTATATATTTTTTTAATGATTTTGGGGTCTTCTGCAATTCAATGTGAGTTACATAAAATGATTATTAGACACCAATGAATGGTCACGCCAGAGTGTGAGTGTGTGCGTATGTGCATATGTGTGTGTCAGATATAATTAATGCCGGCCGATGCTGCAGCCGACATGGCGTATGAGCAACGTGCCGCTGCGCATGCGCAACGCTGTAGAAACCCAGTGGCAGCCCTTTATGCTTAGATACTAGCAGTACAACATTAAATTAACACAATGCTGACAACTGGAGCAGAGATGCAGACGACCTTGATACATTTTATACTAAATATATACACATATCTATATTTATTTTTGGTTTAATTGCGCTTTTCGCACACCAACCAGAGTAATTGCCTAGACAGCTCCCATAGAATGTGTCAAACAATAGCTGCCAGCAGTCACAGCAAATTTGTTCGGAGTCATTAATAAAAATTAACGCGCACTTAAACGCTCGTTTGTGTCACTCAGTCACCCACAAAGACGTGGCAAGAGCTGCGAACTGCGCGGGCATAAGCGTGTCAATTACCACTGCTCGTAAAATAACTGGTTTTTCGGTTCTTTTTCTTTATTGCAGAGCTATTCAATCGGGTTATAGGCATGCAGAAGCTCTGGGGCACGCGTATTGGCATTAATCGCGTCTGGCAGGGCACAGCGCCCCGAGTACTGCTCTTTGAGCCCGAGACCGTCGAGGTAAGTCTGCAATTCAGTCTGTAATTCAATTAATTGGTAATGGTATTGTTATTGTTCCTTATTGCAGCCCATACTGAACAGCCAGAAGTTCGTGAACAAAAGCCACGATTATGACTATCTGCATCCTTGGCTCGGAACTGGGCTCCTAACCAGTACCGACCGCAAATGGCACTCCCGCAGAAAGGTAAGCCTGCACACTCGTCAATACATCAGTTACTATATTGTCTGCTCCTCACTGTTACTGTGAATAAATAAAGTGTCAAGCACTTGCAGCTGAATAAATTCTTGTTTATTCGATTCCATTAATTATCAAACTTGTTTCCTGATGCTTAGTTATATGTTTGATTGCGACTCGGCATGAATGACGCAATTAAGTTATACTCCACTTATGTATTAAAGCCGAAAATAAATGCAATTTAATTGTGTCTAGCTTTTGCACCGACATTACCTTTTAAAAGCAAAATCTCATACCAAAATATAACTAGTTTTAATAATTTCATATATAAGTATATGATGATGCAAAATATTCTTTTCAATTTAATAAAAACACCATTAATTGTAATACGAGTAGACATCTACGTAGAATTCGTCAGTATTATATTCGGGTTCTTATGTCAAGTTAAAAAAATTTATTTGGAATTAATTAGACACCTTTTGTGTTTTAAAATGTAGTTCCAATTATCAGTTAAATTATCATTGTATTTAGAAGTTATGTAGATTTATATATTTCAGGTTAAAATCGGATACAATAATATTTTTAAATTGATAAAGAAATCTTCAGAAATGCCTTTTTTTTACTAGGAACTACTGCTTTTCAGAAAATATTTAAATTTATACAAATATGTTGAAAATTACAATATAAGTAGAATTTATTCTAAGAGTAGAATTTGTTCTGACAATTGAGAATATAAAATATCAAATTGATTTTTTGCAGATCTTGACACCAGCATTCCATTTCAAAATCTTGGACGATTTCATTGATGTCTTCAACGAGCAGAGCGCCGTCTTGGCCCGCAAATTAGCCGTCGAGCTGGGCAGCGAGGCGTTCAATTTATTCCCCTACGTAACACTCTGCACCTTGGACATTGTTTGTGGTAGGTATTGATGCAATGAGAGCAATATTCAGCTAATCGAGTCATCTTTTTGCCACAGAAACCGCCATGGGTCGACGCATCTATGCCCAAAGCAATAGCGAGTCGGAGTACGTGAAGGCAGTTTATGGGTAAGACTAACAAATACTTTTTCTTTGACTTGGTGAAAGCTAATATATAGAAGTAGTACGTTTCTTCTGCCATTCGTAAGATCATTTAAAATAAAAAGGAACTAATCGTACAGAAAATAATACAATCAATAATCATTAGGAGCTTTTTTTTATAATATACTCCAAGAATAAATATACTCCAAGAATAAATAAATAAAAATTTAGGTAAAGCTATTGAGGTACAGACGACATTTAAAACGGACGTTTAATAAGCCAATACATTACTTAAATATATAAATAAAACTGGAATGATACTTCCAGATTAAAATATATTTTATTTAAGCTATAAGGTAGATTTGGAATTTAATAATTTGGGAAACACATGTTTGCTTTCTCGATTTGATCTCTGAAACGAATGTTGCAGCTTTATATAGCTATTAGAAAGAGGTATGTGTGTTAAAAAACATAATATGATTTCATAAATTGAATTGCACACTTACACACTCAAATGGTGGAAATTTTATGAACAGCTACTGGCAGATACAATTTAATATCGAAAGCTGTCAGTGCAGCTGTCAAGGAGTGAGAGACAAACATACAGACAGACAGACAGACAGAAAAACAGATAGACATACATTCAGTTGGAGAGACAAGGCTGGCATTTTGTAGGGTGGTGTGCGTTCATGTGCAAAATATGTGAGATTAAGATGTCAATGGTTCGTTGGCTGTGGCAGCGCCGTTGATAACAGCAAGCGGAAGGGCCACGCCCCACACACACACACACACACACACACACACACACACACACACACACACACACACACACACACACACATACGCACATCAACGCATACCCTTCACTAAATTTCAATAACTACAAAAAGTGTCATGTTCTTGCCATTTTCCGTTTTATAGCATTGGTTCGATTGTGCAGAGCCGTCAGGCAAAGATTTGGCTGCAAAGCGATCTGATCTTCCGCCTTACTGAGGACTACAAGCTGCATCAGAGCTACATTAATACTCTCCATGGCTTCTCCAATATGGTCATACGTGAGCGCAAGAACGAGTTGGCGATATCCAACAACAACAACAATAATAATAATGAGCCCGATGCTTATGATGATTTTGGCAAGAAGAAGCGTTTGGCCTTCCTCGATCTGCTGATTGATGCCTCCAAGGAGGGCACAGTGCTGTCCAACGAGGACATACGCGAAGAGGTGGACACATTCATGTTTGAGGGCCATGACACCACTTCGGCCGCCATTTCTTGGACGCTGTTCTTGCTTGGCTCCCATCCAGAGTATCAAGAACGCGTCGTTGAAGAGCTGGAGTCCATTTTTGGGGACGACCGCGATACACCAGCTACCATGAAGAATTTGCTGGATATGCGCTACTTGGAGTGCTGCATTAAGGATGCCCTCAGACTGTTCCCCAGTGTGCCCATGATGGCGCGCATGGTCGGCGAGGACGTCGATATTGGTGAGACAAATTCCTTGATTAGCCCAAAACAATATCTAAATGGAACATTTCTCTCTATAGGTGGCAAAATAGTGCCCGCTGGCACTCAGGCCATCATCATGACCTACGCTCTGCATCGCAATCCGCGCATCTTCCCCAAGCCCGAGCAATTCAATCCCGACAATTTCTTGCCCGAAAACTGCGCTGGTCGCCATCCCTTCGCCTACATACCCTTCAGTGCCGGGCCGCGCAACTGCATTGGGCAGAAGTTTGCCATTCTGGAGGAGAAGGCCGTCATTTCGACCGTGTTGCGTAAATACAAAATTGAAGCTGTGGATCGGCGCGAGGACTTGACTTTGCTGGGCGAGCTGATTCTACGCCCCAAGGATGGCCTGAGGGTGAAAATAACGCCACGTGTTTGAGACAATAGGGCAGACGAAATGCAGCATGGCATTAGTTTTGGCCGAAACGTAATGGTATATACGCTACCATCATTTGATCCAAAGTATTTAAATTGTAAATATAATATAAGTAGGGTATGTTCTACTCTTAATTTTAATCGTGTGTATAAGCATTTCGTTTCCAAATGTATACTCTAAAATGCACAAACCCAACCCCCACAACTGTTGAAAATCAATACAAACATAAGTACCAATGCACGCATGTTAATATAAGCAGATAATAATCTTATGTTATCTACAAGTTATCTGTCACTGTTGCATACGAATGTAAGCATAAAGAATATGTATAGCAAAAGTGTCAGTCTCCAATAAAACTCTAAAGCGAACAGACGCACGGCGGTCCGCGACTATTGTCTTTTACTTTACTCCTACTGAGCCCTTCCCTTTTCAGCGAATATATAATCTATTCAATAGGTTATGGGCCCAGGGCATATAGGCTCATAGGAGAAGTTCAAAGTATTGTGAAATAGTAATCGTTTGGTGACTCAAGAAATATAACATTTAAAAAATGAGTGCGCTATATCAAATAGACAAATTGGAAGAGCATAACTATGACTCATGGAGCATACAGATGCGATCTGTCTTAGTGCACGCGGAATTGTGGAGTGTGGCATCAGGTGCTGAACCTAGTAATACTGAGAGTTCAAGGCCAAAAGATGAAAAGGCATTAGCAATTATAACGCTAAGTGTAAAAGCTTCACAATTGGGCTTCATTAAAAATTGCAACACTTCGTACGAGGCATGGAAAAAGTTAAAGGACGTTCATCAGCCGAGTGGACCTGTACGGAAAGTGTCGCTGTACAAGAAATTGCTAGGCAAACGCATGTTTCAAGGCCAAAGCATTTCAAGTTACATACACGAATTTAACGAAATTCTGGATGGTTTGTGTACAGTTGGCATCGAATTAAATGATGAGTTAAAAACAATCGTGTTGTTGTCAAGCTTGCCCGAACCATACGAAAATTTTGTCGTCGCCATTGAGACGCGTGACAATTTACCGTCATTTGATGTGTTATGTATCAAGCTGATGGAAGAGGGAGAGCGCAGAGGCAATGCAGATGGAGAGAGCGAGAATGCAAGAGCATTTATAGCTACGCAGCAGATCGTCGCGCATTCCAAAGCGAATTCAAAAAGGAATTCAAAAATCGTCGTTTGCTACAACTGCGGCGAAAAAGGGCACTACAAGGCACAGTGCAAGCGTGAGAAAATTCGCGGTGAAGGGAAAAAGCAATCGACAAAGAAAGAGATGGAAAAGCAGAGCAGCTTGTTAAATGCGTTGGACGTTGGAAAGATAGAGAACAACATGTGGTGTCTGGACAGCGGAGCAACAAGCCATATGTGTTGCGATAAGACGTTATTCTCAAAATTTATTGCGCACACTGAAATGATCGGTTTAGCTGACGCTGGTTTCCTGAAGGCCGAAGGCAGAGGAGAGGTGAAGTTACAGACAGAACTTTGTACCTTGGTGTTGTCAGATGTACTGTATGTACCGAAAATGAATGGCAACTTTATGTCCGTCAGCCGGTCAGTGCAAAAGAACAATGTTATACATTTTGGGCCACATTTTGCTAAAGTTATACAAAACGGCGAGTGTATACTGAAAGCGAATAAAGTTGGGAACCTTTATATGTTTCAAGGCAAACAAAATAGGTGTTATTCCGCAACTGAATCAGATGGTACATTGTGGCATAAGCGTTATGGCCATTTAAATTTTACCAGTCTGAAGGAAGTGATCAGCAAAGAGCTAGTGCGTGGTATTGGAAAGGTTGTTTTCCCAGACAACTTGAATTGCAAAACGTGTATGCTAAGCAAAATACATGTACAGCCATTCCCAAAGGTAAGCACTAACCGTGCCGAAGAGCTGTTGGAACTGGTTCATGCTGATGTATGCGGCCCATTCGACACGAAGTCACTTGCTGGATCCAAATACTTTCTGACCTTCATCGATGACAAGTCCAGGCGTATATTTGTTTATTTTTTGCGGAAGAAAGATGAAGTGTTCAGTAAGTTCGTCGAATTTAAAAACTTGGTTGAACGGCAAACAGATAAAAAGCTCAAATGTATTCGAACCGACAATGGAGGCGAGTTTGTCAACACAACATTCAACGGTTTCCTGAAACACCATGGTATTGCAAGGCAATTGACCGTGGCTTATACTCCGCAGCAGAACGGCGTGGCGGAAAGAGCAAACCGGACATTAACGGAGATGTCCAGATGCTTATTGGTGCAGTCGGGCCTAGGCGAGTCTTTGTGGGCCGAAGCAGTCAACACAGCAGTATACATAAGAAACAGATCACCTACCAGTGCACTGAACAACCTGACTCCAATGGAAGCGTGGACAGGTAAGAAACCCTGTGTTAGCCATCTAAAAGTTTTTGGTTCCATTGCAGTTGCACTTGCAAAGGGTCCCCGTAAAGGCAAATTCAAACCCAAAGGGCATGAGTACCGTATGGTTGGGTATTCGGTAGCAGCCAAAGGCTATCGGTTATACGACCCAGAGACGAGGACGATTGTCGAAAAACGAGACATTCTATTTGATGAGCGTTGTGGTGGTCATACCAATGAAGATACCGTTACGGTAGATTTTCCTGCATGCGAGGTTCAAGAGCATGTCACTCACACGGATGGTGACAGAAGCATCGACGACGATGACAGTGAGCACAGTTCTGACGACAGCAGCTCCAACGCATATGAGAGTGCAGTCGAAAAAGAAGACTCTGACGAGGATACTGTGAAGATTGGGCCAGGCCGGCCTAAAATTGTTCGAAATGGTAAACCTGGTCGTCCAAGAAAGCAATACAATGTGCTTGGAGCATTGGTTGCTAGTGACGTAATGGTTCCGACATCCTATGATCAGGCCGTTGGTAGCACACATGCAGTATTCTGGCAAGAGGCGATGCAAAAGGAATATCAGGCACTACAATCAAACGAAACCTGGCAGATGGCTGATTTACCAAAAGATCAGCGAGCAGTTGGTTGCAAGTGGGTATACAGCCTGAAACGTGACTCTGATGGAAAAGTCGAACGTTTCAAGGCACGACTCGTTGCTAAAGGGTGCTCCCAGAAGTATGGCGTGAACTATGTAGAGACGTTCTCACCCGTTTGCAGATTGGAAACCGTGCGGTTTATTTTGGCGTTAGCAGCGGAATTGAAGCTGTACCTTCACCAGATAGATGTGTGTACCGCCTATTTGAATAGCGACCTGCATGAAACTGTTTATATGAAGCAGCCACAGGGATACACAGATCCCAATAATCCAAGTAAGGCTTTATTGCTTAAAAAGGCAATATATGGATTGAAGCAGTCGGGGCGCGAGTGGAACTCCAAGCTCGATTGTGTACTACAAGGCATAGATTTTGTAGCATGTGAAAATGAACCGTGTCTTTACAAAAGGAACGGAAGAGGTGACTTATCATTAATCCTTGTTTATGTTGATGATATAATTATAGCATGCCGATCAAAAGAGGACTTGGCCAACATCAAGTCAGCCATTACAACATCGTTTGAATGTGTTGACAAGGGAGAGCTGCATTTGTTCCTTGGCATGGAAGTGCAGCGCGACGGTGAGCTTGGCGAAATTTCGCTAAGCAATTCGCAATACATCAAAGACATATTGCGTGAACATGGATGCGAGACCTGTAGACCTACAGCGACCCCACTGGATGCTGGTTTCCAAGTGATATGTACCAGCGAGCATTGTCAAAAGGTTGACATTGCATCCTACCAGTCTTCAATTGGCGAGTTAATGTGGCTGGCGCTTACAACAAGGCCAGACATATTGCATTCCGTTGCCAAGTTAGCTCAACGGAATCAAGATCCGCATGCAGAGCACCTAGTGGGTGTAAAACATGTGCTTCGATACCTGGCGTCAACTGTGGACCTGAAGTTGCACTACAAAGAGTGTGGACAACCCCTTACCGGCTATGTGGATGCAGACTGGGGTGGCGACCGCATCGATCGCAAGTCGTATACTGGCTATGTATACTACTTGGCTGGAGGACCCATATCCTGGCGATCTGAAAAGCAACGCAGCGTGGCACTTAGCAGCACGGAGGCGGAGTATATGGCTCTTTCAACTGCGTGTAAGGAGGCCATATACCTACGGCGTCTTATAGTGGAGATTGGCTGCGGTGACTCGAGTACTCCAACTATTCTTCATGGCGATAATTTAAGTGCTCAACAATTAGCTAAGAATCCTGTACACCATGAAAGAACAAAGCATATTGATATTAGATATCATTTTGCAAGACAGGTTGTAAACGAAGAACAAATTGTTTTACAGTATACATCAACCAATGAAATGATAGCTGATATTTTAACGAAAAATCTCCCTAAAGCGAAGCATGTTCATTTTACAAAGCTGTTAAATTTGATTTGAAAATTTTTGTAAAACATGTTTGCATTGAGGAAGGGTGTTGAAAATCAATACAAACATAAGTACCAATGCACGCATGTTAATATAAGCAGATAATAATCTTATGTTATCTACAAGTTATCTGTCACTGTTGCATACGAATGTAAGCATAAAGAATATGTATAGCAAAAGTGTCAGTCTCCAATAAAACTCTAAAGCGAACAGACGCACGGCGGTCCGCGACTATTGTCTTTTACTTTACTCCTACTGAGCCCTTCCCTTTTCAGCGAATATATAATCTATTCAATAACAACTCTCAACTGTAACCTAAATTTAAGTCTCAGTGATTAAATATTTTTGTAGAAAAAAATGGCATGACTTGATTATTATTATACTCTGTACATGAAATTTACAGAAGTATATTAGGTTTGCGGCAGCTGAAAAATGTAACAGGCAGAAGGAGGCGTGGCAGACCCCACAAAGTATATATTCTTCATCAGTATGACGAGACGAGTCGATCTAGCCCTGTCTGTCCGCCTCTCCGTCCGTATGAACACCTGGCTCTCAGAGACTATAAGAGATAGAGACACCAAATTTTACACAAAGATGCTTTATGTGTGTATTCTATACGAGTTTGTTTTATTTTTTTGATTTTCCCCCCACTTCCCCCCTATGGTGGTTTTTCCGATTTTCCATTCGTATAATCGCCTATATCTCGGAGACTATAAGACCTAGGAACACTAAATTTTAG